ACAGGAGACACAGGGCTTGTTCCGATCTACTGCGTCTGCAGCCTCGCGACAGGCGTCATGGCGCTGGGACCCCTTGGTAGTGCCCGCCGGGAGCTACTGTAAACCAAGGAGGTGCGAGATTGGTGGTTGCACCTGAAATAGCCCGTCATCGCAAGCCTCGCTTTTGTGTAGCGGGAAAGGCATAGCATGATGGCTGTGTTTGTGCCGTCGTACTAGTGACCGCACCATGAGCATTTTGCAAACATCACCCGGTGTACAGAGTCTGCAGGAAGTCTGGCACTCCCGGAGAGACTATGTTGATTTGCCCATCAAACATCATGCCCGCTGGCTTGCCTCGGCTGGAATCGATGCACTCCAAAGAGCTGTAGGATCGGAAGACTCGGGGGCGGGATGATTGAATCATCATAGACCCTGAAGCCACTGCGGCGGCAACACCAGCTGAGCAGGTTGGCCCACTACCCTGTCACCGCTAGAACACGATGAGACCTTCTAGCTCGTCCATCACATAGGCCTTTCGAAGGACAGGCATACCGTGCATGCAACCTAGGCTAAATAGCGTGCATGGCGCAGTGAGCCAGCATTGGGCCACTACACGTATACAATGGGACTCCCTTTTTTTGGCCTGTGAAAATGCCACATCCAGTTTGGCACATACTGTACAGTGGCAGAAGCGCGGAGGTGTAAGTTCTGCCGGTTGATCGTCCAGTGCTGCTAGGGTAAGCGAGACTCGCAAGGGTGATTGATGGCAAGGCGCTGTAGTCCTGTCGTCTTTGGGCATCAACGCATTTCTGCCGGAGAAGGCCTAGTGAGCGCGCTGAAGATAAGATGGTAATCTGCTCTGCAACCCCACGCAGCTCGATGGATCTGCATTGCAATCAACGTACGGCAGGAATCATGCTGCTGCCGCTCGCTGACTTTTTGGCCAGGCATTGACCGCCTGACCAGACCGTCCGACTGGCCAGAGAGAAGGTGAGGGCAGAGTTGTGCTCCCGAAACTTTTTTCCGGCAAGGTTTCGGGTAGACCCCCAGGGCTTTGGAACTGCTCATAACGGTCGTCCCGGATCGGAATAGGCCAGATGACCTAGATCTTGACGGTGGAGAAGTTTTAGACAGCCTGCTAGTCCATGTACTCAGATGCACTGTACAGGGCTCGCTGATACGAGCGCATGTGACCGTCGCTGCTTGGGTCGAGAGCTGCCAGGCGTCGTGGAGAGCGGTGAGATCATCATTTGAGGGCCCCTTGGTGACCATCAATCTTGGGAAGCGAACTCCTAATTTGTGTCTGCCATGCAGCGGAGATTCATCAACGCTACCCTATTGTGTGCTAGAGCTGCACCTGCAAGGCTACCCCCAGAAGGCAACCCATGCCTAACTGCCCCGTTTTTCTTTTGGCATCTTACCCCCGGGGGCTCATCTCGTCTCCGCTTGTGCTAGTCCCGGGCAGGGCTGAAGGGCTCAAAGACAGCCCACCTGGTCTGATGAGCTCACCCCCAGGCTGCTCGCTGGCTCGCGGTCGCTGTCGTAGTCGGGTCATGAGGACAGACCCCACTTCGATTCGCCGTGTCAGCGGCTGTCACCGCCACGGAAGTGTCGGGTGATGCGAGTCTCCGTGGCTGGAAACAGCGTCTTCCCAGCGGAGCCGAGCGGAACGCTGAGGCAGGGCGAAGCACTCAGGCGAGGTGACGAATGGTTCCGCCAGGGTTCAGGAACGTCGAGAGTAAGCTTGCGAGCGGGAAGTCACCATGAGCTTGGGATCGTCCTGGCTTGGGGAGCTTGCGCCTCGTCCAACAAGCGTCCTCGATGCTCGCTTGGGTTCCTAGAGGTCGAGGCTAGCGTGGTGGCTTGCACAGGCCTGGCAGGCCTGGCTGCTAGTGCGCAGTGGCAGCAGCTGTCTTGCCCGCGGGTCACAAAACCTTAATTTTGGAAACATGGGCAGACCACAGTAGTCTGGTGTTTCATGTAGCAGTGTGGAGACACCCTACCACCCATTCTGAGCAGCACCTAGTGCCCAAAGTGTACTGGACTGCACTGTGGGATATGAAGGTGGATGATGGTGATGAGTCGAGATTATCGACAACATTCAGTCACCAGTCCAGTCCTGCCGTGCGAGCGATCGGAATAACGCAGGACATGTACTCTCCGGTACCGTCTTGTGTGTCTGTCGTCCATGCTCTCCTGACTCCTGACTCCTGACTCTTGACTCCTTTCTCCTGTCTCCTGACTCCTGGGATCGAGCTGGGGAACTGTGAGCCGAGGCCCAGACATCAACCACCTGCAGCGTACCGATACTGTCAAGGGCTTCAGCTGATGGGTGATGGAAGACTCAACGGCCAGAGGAGCCCCGGCTGACGTCGCAGTGCACCAGGGCCGGTAGTTGGGGGACCCCAATAGCCGTATGCCAGGCGGGTAGTAGGACAGTAGTCTACTGTACAGTGCATGCAGTGAGGCTGCCTAAGTCGCTGCAATATCCAGCACCAGCAGGAGCAATTAATGGGGTAATAGGTATCATTGTTGATGTCGATCTGTGATCTAGCATGGAGTAGCCCGTCCTAGGCTAGACTTCAGACCACCACTCGCTGTGTGCATCTCCAGAAGGGCCCTGAAGGGACGAAAGAAATGAGCAGGAAAAGACGGTTGTTTGCGCTGTTTGCACGGCCCAGCGATCCTTGCCCACACGCCTAGAGGGCAGATGTTGACATTAGCTTTATCGGTGACACGGGCAGAAAAGATGCGCAGAATGGGCGCGCGCCTCCTGCTTTGAGCGCCGCCCAGTGCTGCCAGTGTGGTGATCCCTGGGGTGCCTGCCCACCTGAGCTGCTACCTGCTAGACTACCTGCTAGACTACCTGCTGGGGTACTTGCCTCACAGCAGATACCCTGTGGGGTGAGCGGGTATCTAGGTACTTCGGTACCTCCAGGAAGCTTGCAGCCGGAATGTCAACCCACCTTCCTCACTACCCTCCCACCTTCTTTCCAGTCTCGGTTTCAGGGTCCACATTCCACAGGTCCACAGCACCCTTGCCTTCTTGCACCCACTTCTTTCCTTCCCCCCCCTCCCCTGCCCCCAAGGCAGTTGGCCCTGCAGGGTCCATGGGTGCTTTCTTCGTTCCTTCCTTCCATCCCTCCCTCCATCCCCCACCCCCACTTTATTTGCAGGTTTGCCGACAAGAGCCGCGGACCTTGGTCCAAGAAACGGCTCCAAGGCGCCAATCTACCGCCGGTTCGTGCCACAACTATGCGACCGTCCGTCCGTTCATTCAGCCCTGAAGCATCATCACCCACCCCTCTATCTATCTACCGCGTCCTATGTAGCACAAGCACTACGCAGCTGCTATTTCAAGCCTCCCAACTTGGGATCGTTCGCCTTGGGCCTTGTTTCCGGCGTCGTCTGTACTAGTCTTGCAGCTTAAGCACCATGCGGCAAGAAACTTATCTAACTTGCTGTCTACGTTCTAACCTCGCAACTCTGGCTTGTTTCTGACCCCTTGACCTGGTTCGCCCCGCCTTGCCTCGCCTCGCCTCCCTCACGATCCCAGGTCGCTCTGCTAGGCGCCATCTCGACAGAAGAAACGTCGGCCACATAGCCGTCGTCTCATGATGCCACAACGGGTGGGGACACCTTAGCCCATCGTAGAGCAGTGCGCTGCAGCGCATATCAGAGCAACGCCCGGCATTACGTCGATAGGCGGCGCTGAGCCCACCCCCATTCCCATCATCTCAAGAGCGCGCGGGCTCCGCGGCTGTGGGGAGGGGATCTGTGAGCAACTTCGGCTCCCAATCTCTTGCGCCTGCTCTTGCCCATTTACAGCTTCTTCTTTGCGAGCATTCGGGATGCCAGGGCTTACAGTCATGCCATGCTCGCTGATCACAGATCTCGCTCCAGGTCATGCAGAACCTTGACATCTCTCGGGATCTTTTTTGACCTTCAGGTCTATTTACAGAATAGACTTAAATTTTGCGGGAGCCTCCCGTCTCGGCCAAGAGGTCATCGATCAGGAAGGTGAGAAATGTGAGTACAATGTACATGTACATTCATACTTACAAGACACATAACGCATAGGCGCACATACGTGCCGTACGCACACCCCAGGATGCGAGCAGCCTATGACAGCCCTTCGTGCATGCCCTGGGTAGCACGTCCACCAAAAACTCTAGCAGCGTCATTGGGAATAAACCTTGGGATCTTGTCATGCCTACCCTCGCTTGCTGAAGGAATTCGGCCGGTCTAGACCTCTCTCGAACCAGGGCAAGAATGTCTTGAGTCGCTTGTTCAACTTGGCCCTCGTCATGTCGCCTTCGCGGATGCCACTGGAGACGGACGGCACACGTTGATACGACACATTCATTCCATAAAATTCATATGCGTGCCCGACGGCAGGACATGTACCGTATGCCATGTCATGCCCATGCATCCCGTTGTGAGTGGAGCGGGATGATGCGAACGATACCTTGGGCGGGAGACAGTCCAGGCTGGTTATGGCCCTGACGAAGTCCCACAATATGCCGCCCCCTTACTGAGAACCACACGCGTTGTGTGACCAGGTAGGCTGCAGGTGTGCCTCGGGAGGGGGTTCCGAGGGCTTCTCCTGCAGGGACCGTGCCTATTGGATACCAATGATCGCTGTCAAACATGATACGCAGTGTCAGTATAAACTCTGGCGCCACCATCTGTGCGGTCAAACAACCACTTCTGAATACACCAGTCACGAATCTCAAGAGCGCAACCACCTGCGTTTACGCTGGCCTCGCATCTCTCAAGCACGCATTTGTATGTCTGTTAGGCTGTAACACCGGTTTCTGGGTTTCGCCCTGGCACTGACTGCACCAAGACGAGTTTGTGGGTGGTCTATGAGCTGGCCACAAGCATTTTCATGTGGGACCGACACTTGATTGGCCCATTTGCGATGCCACCAAGTCCGGGGCAGCCATTACGCGGTGACTGCGAATTGCCGGCCACAGGACATCATTTTCGCTTTCGCTTACCCGATGCCCGTGACACGATCAGTTCTCCTGATAAAACCAAGGGCGTATTGCTGCCTCGGATCTGTTCAAGTAAGGGGTGCCGGGCAGCTGTATGGGGATGGGGATTGCACCCTGGAAGCCGTCCAGCATGTTCTTCCCCTCCTTAGATCCGTCGGTGGGTGTTCCGCCGGTCTTGGGATTGTTGATGGGGCGTGGTGTTGGCGTTGTTACAGGGATTAACACACCAGCCTCCCAGTTGCGACAGTTCAGCTTGGGCTGTCCTGTGTTTCGATCTTTGACGAGGCGGCCCCTGTCCCAGACTTAACTCAATCTCTCTAGACATAACTTCAAGCAGATTAGGGACACTCACCATGCGCTTTCGGATAGGTTGTGACTTCCCAGATACGCCCATCCACGGCATGATCCCTCAGCTCCAGAGGCGGGCTTCCGGACAAAGAACAGCTTGCTATGGGAAAGTAGACCTGTCCGCACATTCTTGGAGTCTCGCAGAACCTCGCGAGGGAATGATTTGGAATCCCACCAACGTGGCTGGAAGCAGATCGTACCGGCTGACTAAACTGTAATCAGGACACACCATTCACATTGCAGACTGGAGGGCAGGGAACATGGGTCGCTAATCCGGAGGTTTTCGGTAACTTACGTTCATCCCGCCTCGACTGGTTCGTACGGTATCGCGAGAGGGAAAATACACTCGCATATGCTCCTTAAAGCCCGTCTCATTGGCCGCAGGAGGTGCATCCTTGTTCTTCTTTTGTCGTCGCGTTCTTTCGTCATACTCCATCATGCCAGAGTCGCCTGTTGGTCGTGTCAGTCATCCTCAGTGTCGACTCTCATAAGTGTGGCACACAGACCTTTGCAGGCGTTGTACAGAGCAGCTAGGAGATCGTTGTTGACGGCACCGATGGACGAGCACTGCATAATACCTTGTCAGGTCCCACATGCACGGGATTTTGAGTTCGGGTGTACCCACGATGTAGTCGACTTCAACGGGCTCGTTACTACCTAGACCCAGGGTCTTCACGGCAGAGCCCAGTCCACAATAGCCTTGCGCGTAAATGTCAGCCCTGATAGGTTTGTTTGCAGTAATAACACATGCAGATCCAACTTACCCGTTCGTTGCCATGTGTCGACATTCGGATGGGAACCTCCACTGGAAACCGTTAATACCAGATACCTCGAGTCAGGTTATGCATTGCGAACATTGTGTGTAGGAACCCATAGCGAGATGTTTCAGAGAAGTCCTACTACCTTGTCAGTGAAATGTCTCCAACAAGCTGGTAAAGTATCACCCCGAGAGTAAGGTAAGGTACTGTGGCGCGCGAAATCTTCAACAGGAAACCACCACGAGATGGGGCGCATGACAGGGTAAGTCTGGGGAGCGGAGTTGGGAGCTCTGGCTCGGCAGGCTTGCTGGAAACCGCCGGGAGGATGGTGGGAGATCGGAGATGGCACGTACATAATTCCGCAGACTATTGACCATCTTTCCGTCCACACCCTGACGCTCCAAGAAGAACTGCAGCTCCGCTCCGAAATGGGTGAGTGCATTAGCTGCGAGTTTCGCAGGGTCGTCAATCCGAGGCAGATCGATCACAAACACCATCTAGGTGAGCGACCAGGTCAGTAGGAAGGGACTCCGCCGCGGTTACAATAAACTTACATTTTCCATCACTCCCGTCTCACCCCAATCGTAGGGAACAAGATTGCCCGTCGGGACGACTATGCGGAGGTATTTCGGGTATTTCAGGAGCATAAGTTTGGAGTGCATACATCCACGTTCCATCGGTGGAAAGCAGAACCTGATCACATCTTTGGGCACATTGTTTCGCATCGAGGCTTTCTGGTGACGGAATCAGCGGCGCTCAGACGTGGGTGGAAGGCTAAGTCAGAACAGGGCGGAATTCTATGTCCTGCGGCCGAAGATACCACCCGCATCGCCGAGGGGGCCGCGGAACGAGACGGGATTTTGCAAGGTAGCACGGGTCCGTGACTTACAGTGTCTTCGTCTTCAGCGTAAGCTATCAGAAGAACCTTGGTCTTCTTGAGATTCAGCTTGCGCATGAGCCACTCATCATCCCACTGAAAGGAGCTGAGCACGGCGAGCTCGAGGATGTCCTTTTGCAACACCTCCTCGATTGTGATGTCGTCGTCCCGACGGGCATAACCCAGGGCCCAAGTCCTCAAGACGATGCCCTGCGCGTAGGGAAGACCTGCCTCGGAAACTCCCTTGCTGGCGCTGGAGTTTGAGTTCAGGCTAGAGGGTGCGGTTGGCAGGGCAGGCTGGGACATCCCGGGTCTGCCGGAGCGTTGGCCAGCCAGATCATTCATGAGCCTCGGACGTTGCGCCGGCGGCAGCTCTGGTTCCCGCCCGTCGTGGGTGTTGAGATTGGTCGGCCCTGCTTTGCGCTTCTTCAATCTTGCCAAGCGTTCCTCCTCCATGGCTTTGCGGTCAATGCCAAGCATGCTCATACCTCCTGCTGAGGATGAGTGAGTGTCTGCCTTGTCTTGGGCATGGTCTTGGCCGAGCCCTTCATGGGTTTTGTTGGCACTGCCTGGGGCGTCGTCGTCAGTCGTGGTAGTGGTCGCGTCCTCGCCAAGACTCATGGCGATCGCTCGACGCAGTGCCTCCTCCTCGTCATCGCATCCATTGATCTCCATGCTCGCCATTAGAATTGGGTGCCGGGGCAGAACGGCTGAGTCAAGAGGGGGGGGTGTGCAAAAGGCTGGGGTTCGATGGCTCTGGCAGGCTGGGGACCTAGGAGGATCGCTCCGGGCCAAAAAGTGGGTGTGATGGATGAAGTCAGGATTAAGTTGATGTTCAGAACTGCTTCTTTTTACGGGGACGGGAAGCTTGCAGCCTGCCCCTCCATTCCCGCATGAGTGGTACTGGCTTCAGGTGGGTCAAGATGAGGATGCGCACGCCACGTGAAGGCGTTGCTTGTCTCAAACAAACTAAAGTGAAAAGCCACAGTGTTGATTTATTCATGGACTGTACAGGACTGACAGTGCCACTCGCCTGGGAACAGTGCGAGCCGGGCGCTCGTTCCAGCCCTACAATTCACATCCAGGATTGGCTGACCAAGTGAGGTTGCTGCTGCTGCGTACCTACGCCTCTGCCACAATGGGCTTCTTGAAGCTCATGGCGTAAAGTGATGCCTTGGGCAATCGTAGCAGATGGAGATTGCACTGGTATGCTCGTGATGAATCGCTCATGGCAGTGTACCTAGGTAGTTGTAGGCTTCCCATCGTACACACAATACCTAGCAGCTGCGAGTCGTTGCGTTCAGTCTCAGGCTAGTCAGTGAAGGAGGTCTATCAGTCACACACACACCAGTCCAGGAGACAATTTCTAATGACGAGAAGCATTTTGTCAGATATGCTCAATCCTGCAGCCTGTAGGTTGCCATCTTCTCAACTGACAAGAGCCCAGTCCAACCAGGCCGCTCAGGTTGATGACGCCCCGAAGGCTGAGTGGGCTTCTCGTAGCGGTGTATCTCAGCCATTCATCGTTGTTGGTACATCGAGAACTTTCTGACAGCGATTTTCTACGGAGGCTGTTCTATTTCAAAGACTCGAGGGGCACCTGGCACTGAAACTCAATTTCCACAGCAATTCGGTGTTGTGCTCTCCATATGTGTGACCCGCCTGAGCAAGTCCAAGACTGCCTGAAGTAAATGTATATGGCTATAACTTCCTCTGAAGATGGACAGAGATACTTTAAAATGTTAGCTTCCTTGCATGGCGACCCTGTTGGCCTCCTGTTGGTATAGCATCTGGACTGGCTCAGTATGGCCCGAGAAGAGCTCAGCCCACGAGGAGCGGGCCAATTTTCCACACTCCATATGTATATAAGAGCTAGTGGGATAACAACAAGCCATTCTCGGACATGTATCCATTAACACTATACCTTCTGAAGGCACATGTAAGAGCGAGGCAGGTCGAAGGGCCACATTGCCCAACGTTCCAATCGCCTTTCGACCCTACCTAGGTGCCCAGAGATTCCAGTCCTCTACGAACTTGAACACCGAGTTTCGTTTCTTCTAAAGGAACAAGGGTACTCCGCGGTTTGTATAGTCATGAGACAGCTGGTGCTGCTGTACCTGGCGAAATACATGTAGAACGGCCTCCTCCTGAAGCCTGGTCAGGTGCTTAATGGCCATTTTGCTAGCCTACCCAGGTACCTAAGCATCATCCCACATGCTTCAGGTTGTACTCTATGGTCATGAGCGAGCAGGTCGGCGAGCATATAACATCCATGCCTGCTCCTCCAAATAGATTACCAAAGATTGTTGATGATGGAATATTAAGGTCCACAGCCTAGAATTCTGCGGCTTGGTTCCCTGGTAAATGCCATCAAGGAACTTCGTTGGGTACGCTGCCTACCAGACCCCAACCAAAATCGGGTCAACAACTTCGTGTTCGGGAAGTATCAAGTCATCATAGAGCCGTGACTCCACTGGTAGAACTATCTAGGGTCATTCCCTGCTGCGGTGCTGCCGGATCAGTTGAGGGGAGACAGGCGATCATTGTCAAGGCCGCCTCGCCGGCGACCCTCCAGTAATTTCCACAAGGAGATCTAAAAAAGGAATTCGGAGAATAGTATGGTCTCCGCTATATGATTGGGTATACAACATCGCGACCCTTGTGGCGGAAAGGCCTTTATCTCAACGTCCGCCGGGGTTTGATAAATCAAGTCGGACACCGGAGCTTGAGAGAGAGAGATAGGAAGGCTACCTGGACAGCGGTTACTGGCAGCAGCAGCTTCTTTGGGCCCAAGAAGGCCCCAAGGGCACTCAAGACCGCTGGCAGTCCGGTCTCGTCTGTGTATACATCCACGCCTTACTTTCTGGTAAACGTCGATACATGGACATGACTAGAATTGTAAGGGAAAATATCATCACAGGGGTGAAATGACACCGCTTTACTTTGGGAGTACTGTTAATTGTACCCACCAACGAAAAGGGCAAAGACCTCGGTGCCGAATCTCGCACAGGCTCTGAGCCAGGCTTTGAGTAGAAAGACATAGACAAAACACTGGCTTGACGTTCCTCGGATGACCATGCTCGCGTAAACAAAAAAAGGCTGCTTCTCGGTCGGGTGGCCGAGTTTAACAGCTTTGCATGCAGCACCAGGCGTTCCATATTCTGTCGAGAAGAAGTGAAAACGCCAGATTGGATAAACCTTTTGACCAAGACAGGACGAGAGAGGAGGCAGGGGCAAAACCAGGATGCAGAACCATAATCAAGGACAAAAGCAAGATCAAGGGCGAAAAGTCAAGAGCTACGCACGCGTGTTCGCGTAGCAAGCAATGTGAGACTGCCGCTGTCGACTCAGGGCGCTTTCTTTCATGTCCGTATGCTGTCAAAGATACTTATCGCTACCAGCAACGGACGAAAAACGACAGTATGAAGATGGATTAGGCACTCTAAAGCTACAGACCATGCCTAGTGATTGAACGAAGGCCACCTGTATACCACCGAAAAAAAAAAAAAAAAGAGTATGGTTTTGTTGTTGTTGTCCAGATGCAATCCTTCCTCTGAAGCAGAGTTTCACTGGTTTCGAACGAAAGATGCTGCCCGATTCCAAGGTCCACCCTGCTTGTTTGCATCTCTCAGCCGCCGCCCTCTCAAAGATCTTTTCCAGACCGATCTTGCTCCAACGACGAACGCCAGTCGAAGTGGGTATCACCAGCATCACCAAGAACCAGAACCATGCCTTAGCTCTCATACCAGATGAAACCGCCAGATAAGATGCCCTCCATTGTACATTTGTCGAATAGAGTAAAAGAAATCCATAACGGCCAGCTTCACCAACACGCCTGGACGGCAGCATCCGTGAGCCAGCAAACGCCTTGAGAACGCCCAAAATATGATGAGATATGGAGTTTTCAACCACCCCGATCTCCTAGTAAACCGGGCCCGCTATCCAGCCAGCCCATGCAGAAAACAACAGGCCGAGTCCATTGTCACAACGCCGTGGAGTCAACTGTAGAAGACACGCGTGGAAAAAAGAACCCGCCCTTGCACATCTATGCAGAATTATATGGCATGTGCCAATTTGGAAAAAAGTAATGATCGACTGGCGTCTCAGAAAATGATGCGCTTTGGAAACCCAAGATACTATGTGCGAAGAACCGTGGAGTAAGAGGTGGTCGAGTTGAAGTCGACTATGCACGTCCTGGGGAGGGACCGGTTTGTTGTTGTGGGCTGCTGTTGCCGTCTAGTCCAGCTCCGATCGGGAAGGGGAGCTTCAGAGCCTGGCGAAGCGCGTGCTCGCCACGGTACTTCCAGTCTTCTGGACCTCCTGAGCCTGGGCTCTGCGTGCCCATTGCCCCGCCGCTGAGTTGCGGAGAACTCTGTGAAGCGGCTGTCGGGAATGGGAAAAGTCCAGGGGAGTTGGTCTGATGATGCGACGGCGCTGACACCGAGTTTGAGGACGGCGACCCAGCGCCGATTCCCAGGAGCCTCTTTACCGCCTCACTCCTTTGATCCAATCGCGGGGGTGTAGCGAGATGCTGGGGAGCCTCTCGTGGTTGTGCTGGGCCTTGCTGTTGGGCCTGCTGCTGTATCTTGACTTCCGTAGCTCTGGCCGCCCGGGCCTTTTCGTGGATGGGCAAGGCAAAGGGCTCGGGGCGCGGACCAGATCCAGCAGTGCCGTTAGGGCCAGAGGCGCCATTCTGAGCTGGGCGGCTGGGGAGCTTCAGGGGGATTGGATCAAAGGAATAGTTGGCATCCCGGCCCGATCGCCCCTCCGAAGGTGGGGAGAACGGACCATCAGCAGCCGCTGCGTTTGCGGAGTTCGTTCTGCAGGCTCGCTCCTTCTCGGCTCGGTCTGCTCGGAAGAGCAAGTCCAGCGGAGACTCGTCACGGCGAACCTGGGGCACGGTCGCTGGTTGGGAGGGACTGGGAGAGTCGCAGTCAGAGGCCGGCGGTGACGGCTCTTTGGTGCGTCCGCTCACAGTAGCTGATTCGGATCGCACCCTGAAGAAACTTGGCATCGGCAGGGAGGCCGGAGCAGGAGAGGCATGGAAATTGGCGCCAGCGAAGGCGGCCGAGTTGGTTTTGTTGTTTGCAGAGTGAGGCGGAGTGCGCCGGCCAGGTTTGGCAGGACCGGGAGACGTCGAGACATGGGCGGGCCGGGCTGACCTGTTGCCCTGCTTTGCGGACTTGGGCTGGGTAGCTTGGGACCCGGGAGCTGGGCTGGCATTCTTGGATTTCATGGGCGTCGCGGGATAGTTGGCAGGAAAGGGCATGTTCGTCAGGACGTCGCCCTCAGATGCGTAATTCTTACGACCCGAGGCATGCTTCCCATTTCGGCGGCGCCGGGCAGGTGTTTGCTTGTTTTGTTCCATCGTGAATGGCCTGTTGGGTATTGCCACGACAGGCTTGACAGGAGGTGCGTTCTAACGGAAGTGAGGTGAGCGAGATGGTACTGGGAGCGTCTGGGACGGTGTGGCGGCCCATTGCTTACCTTGGGGTTGGGCTAGTTATGGCTAACTGATGGTTGCCGGGCCAGGCGGTCGATCTATGTCTGAGGATTGATTTCTTGTAGATTCCGAAGCTGGGAGGATACTGATGTTCGATGGCTGAATACTGAAGTTTGTTGAGTTTGGCCTAGACATAGGCATGATTGTTTTCTGGGTTTCTGTTTTCGCGAGCGAATGGTACGACCTTCCCATCGAGGTGCCAAAGAAGTTGGCAGGCCAAAGCAGGGGGCGAGTTGGTCGGAGAGGAGATGATGATGAGTCCAAGAGGGTGCAGGGTGGTTTGGCGGCAGATTCCAGTCTTTGAAATACTGATGTTATGTTGGGCTGTCCTTCCTGCTGGGCTTGGACTTGGAACTTGGACTTGGTGCTCGGGGTCCGCTCTGTTCTTGGGCCTTGCTGTGTTGAAAGAAGGAGTCAGGCTCACGAACAGGGTCGGGTGCGAAGCAGGCTGGCAGGCTGGCAGGCGGGCTGGGCAGGTCGGTCGGTCGTTCAGGGAGGCTGAGTAAGAGGGGGAAGGCGTGACAGGGAGGTGTGGAGGTGCGCTACGTGTAAATACACCTGTTCTGTGACAGCGAGAGGCGCTGCCAGCCCACTTTCATGCTTCCCAAACAAGTTAGCACCCAGCGGGCGGCGGCCTGACCTTGAGCTCGGCCTCCAGCTTGGAACAAAGGCTGGGGTCCTGCGTCGCTCCTTAATTGCCTGCTGTTGTATATTCACTCACGTAAGGATGTTCTATGTCACTGCTGGAGCAGCATTAAATTTGCTCTCTTTCCTCGCTAATCAAAGTGGAGTTAATCCTGCCCAATGCGTGTTTGAATAGATGTTGGTATGATGCGGCAAAGAAAGAGCAAAAGGCCTTGCCCTGCCCAATAGGGTAAGCTCTGCAGTGCGTATGGCCCTGAGGCTCCCAGTCGGAATATGACGTGGGCACCAATCCACCCGCCTGCACCCAATACTGGCCGCTTTTCCAAGGACCGTGCTGCCGGCCGAGTCCGTTCGGCGGGGCAGGAGCCTGGGTAATGATAGCTGCATCCCAAGCCAGGCACCCGGGAGGCACCTCACAATCCGTAGCAACTTCACATCTGAACCGCGTTTGTTTCCTAAGGCGACCGCTGGAGGCTGCCCAGTCCATTGACATCTCGAGGATCTCGAGGAAAAGGAAGCAGGCAGAGAACAATTCCCTTACAAACAGGCTGTTTGACGCATCTCCCTCTTTCCAAGTCAAAGGCATTTGCAACCCAGTAAGTCACAAACAGCCGCCATCAAGGTCCCTATTTCCATCCGCTCTTCCTACCTCGAAATTTCGACTCTCCCAGAAAGTGGCCCTCTTCCTAACTGTCTGTTCTTTCCTAGCAGCTTTCGACAAATCCAAGCCATTGCTTGACCTCTCAACTTGCAACACGCCACACCACACATCGACTCCCCCAACCATACCCCCCGATACATCATGGCCGACGTCGACATGACTGATGCACCCCCCGTGACTAAGAAGAAGGGCGGTGATGTTGAGACCAAGAAGCGCTTCGAGGTTAAGAAGGTGAGCATGGCTATACTTCGCAGCTGAGTCCTTGGCTGGACATGTGCTCACGACCTGGACATAGTGGAACGCCGTCGCCCTCTGGGCTTGGGACATTGTCGTCGACAACTGTGCCATCTGCCGCAACCACATCATGGATCTGTGTACGTCTTGTCTCCCGTTTGTCTTTCGTCGTCTGCAACACTAACCCACCATCAACACTGCAGGCATCGAGTGTCAAGCGAACCAGGCCTCCGCTACTAGCGAGGAGTGCACAGTTGCCTGGGGCATTTGCAACGTACGTACCCCGCCACTCACCTATCCGCAGACTTAGCGCACGATATTGACCCGTGACGAAAACAGCATGCTTTCCATTTCCACTGCATCTCTCGATGGCTGAAGACGCGTCAAGTGTGCCCTCTGGACAACAGGGACTGGGAGTTCCAGAAGTACGGTCGGTGAAGGACAGATACCATGGCGATGGACGAAGAAATGATGACACGATTGCTGGTCCGGTCCGAAGGCTGAGTCGGACTTTCCATGCACTATGGAACACATGGGACGAGATCATCACAGAATGTCATGATGGCAGTGGCATCACACATAGGGCGTGCAGCATAACATACATTCTAAGACTCGTATGATACTGCGAGTTATCACGACTGCACTTCTCCCAAATACCATTTCTCGAGCACCAGTCAGTCTTCATGGCTCTCATCGAACAGCCTTCTCATCTATGACAAGATCCCGTGGAACTGAAATTGCTGCTGCTCCTCCACCGATCGGAAGCCACTTGACGGGGTTTTTGTTGTAGAAGGGCCAGGGAGGGATAATCGCGAGGAACGTGAGCGCGGTGCCCCCAAGAGCGATGTAGACGGCGAGCTTGATGTCTTGTAGGAAGTATCCGACGAGGAACGAGATAACCTAGATGGCACGTCAGGCCTATCGTAGCTTGCGGGGCGGTGCGCAGGATGATCTGTAACTCACTCCAACTATGCTTAAGAGTACGGTCGACAGCATCTCGACGAGCTTTTGGCCCTCGAAATCCTATGGACAAGCTTGGTCAGCCGATGTTTCCGCACAGGGTGGGCTTGCAAGGCCGGCATGGGGTGAGAGAAGAGAAGCATACGATCTGCCCCTCGGCCACGTCGCGAACCTGGTCGAGGATCTGTTCCGCCATGGTGCAGCTGGTAGAATCGATTCGGTACTAATTGTTTGTGCGTAATGGACCCCGATCAAGACTGGGTGCTTCGTAGACGCTGTTGAATCGACAAGCGACTGGACTGCCTTTTGGGTGGTGGAAGTGAGCGTGGCCGATGTCTAAGAGTCGGACCCTCCACAAGCTTCAACGTGGCTCGAGCCGAGAAGTGGCCGGCTCGGACCTGCATAGAGTAGAACTCCCTACCTAGCAGCTTAGTTAGGGACCCCCACCCCCTGTCACTCCCGCGCCGCTCCTCGACTGCAGCATCAAGGACCCACCGATACCCAATCCCCACACAAAGATGTCGGCGGACAGAGAACCATCTGGGGGTGACAGTATGATAGACAGCGACTGGGCTTCGCAGTAACCTCGCCTCTGGCATTTTTTCATTTTATGGTGGATAGGGTAGTGAGCATAACCAAATTATACATTTTCACGACTCGCAGCCGTCTGAGAGTCTCGCAGTCCATGGAGCTCGCCTATTCCATCTAGGTACCTAGTTAGTCTAGTTGTCAGCTCATCAATCCCTCGGCTAAACACTCTGGCCAAAAGTCAGTGCACCTCAACAGCTCGTCTCTCGTCCTGTGGGTGTGTCGTGTGCGTACACGTGCATGCTGAGTTGAGGACCGAGACAGGAAGTACAAGCACTCTTTGCAAATATGTTCGCAGTTCGCAGTGTGCAGTGTGAGCGACTGCAGCCTGACCTGCAGTTAGTCATCCCAACCCGGGACCCTGTCGGTCGTGTCCAAATTGGCGGGTTACAGCCAGGGATCAGCGCTGTGCCGAGATGCAATTTTTGAACTCTGCCTGTGGTGGGCCGCCAATCATCGTCCACTCGTACAAACCCGCCAAACATTTGTCGAGCGCATTTTTCCCCTTCCCCTTCCCAACTTTGCCCCCCGATCCTAAGCTCCTTTTTAGCTTTCACAACAATCATCTTTTCCACTGCAGAGTTCAGCTTGCAGTCTCTTTTGTCTCCTCAAACTCCAACCAGCCTGTACAAGGACATCTGACTCATATTGATCATACGCCCGCCCCTGCCGCATTCACAAACAAGAGTCCTCTCATCTTCACTCGATGACCGAGGACGTCATTGCGACCTGAAATCAGACCAACACGAGGATAACAATAGCACAGCAGCCGCTCCACATCTGCGATTATCCAACCCCCTTCTTCAACGCAGAACCATCCGCTCAGGACCAAGACCCGACATCGCCTTCAAACCAAGTACATCGAGCTATTGCGAGCACTGCGACTTTCTATTGTCGCAACGATTCCGCATTACCGAATACCCGTTCAATCCATCAAGTTGGCTGCACTCGCTTCTTCCCGGACTTCCTTCACCCGTTCGCTCCATAGCCCCGCTTTCTGGGCATACATTGGAGTGAACAAGAAACCGCCTTAACTTGAGGTTATTCGTTACCGTTTTACCAATTTTGGCCGCCCCTTGATTGCAACCGTCTGCCTAATATCACCCCCTCGACAACTGTCCAGGCCGGTGACATACTGTCTTACCAGGGACTCAAAAGTCTCAAGCCCTTCGCCGCGGGCGGCAGACTGCCGTTTACTGCCGTCCGCTTGGGTCAACAGCATCGCCGACCGTCTAACGAGGATGGGAATGGGAATTCACCCTTGAGCCAGCGACCGGGCTGCCCAGAGCCGGATCCGTGAGAGAGGAGTAAAAGAGATATAGTCACGGAGAAACAATTGTAAGACTGGAAAGACGAACGGACAAAGGAGCATTGAAGCATTCAAAATGTCGGACCACGAAGAAGTCTTGGACACGGGCTACGAGACTCCCATCCCGGAGTTGGATGACCACCGTCATCACCCCCAGAGTCCCTCGATTTCGCGGGACGAGCGGCCCCGCCGGGGTACCTTCGATTCCCAATTTGGCGGCCGACGACGCACTGGTTCCGATGCCTCAAGGAGCGGTTTGAACCACTCCAACATTCGCATCCGCGATTTCGAAGAGGCAGTCATCGATGATGAGGCCGGTGAAATCTCGCCAATGGGCCGACGCCAGAGGCGAGGCACAGTGGATACGACGGCATCCTCGCGGGAGCCATCCCCGCCGAACTCCGTCAAGGCGTTCGCCCTGGCCCGTCGCCCGCCTGCGCTGTCTTTCTCAGAGCAACGACCAGACAATGCGGATCTGCAGAGGACCATGTCAATCACCAGTCGTCACAGCCACCGGAGCAAGTCTCGCACTGTGAAAGACAGCGACGTTGCCAGTGTCAACACGAACAGGTCTGCTGCCGAGGACGATGTCTGTTTTCCCCATGAGAACCGTGATGGCCCAAACTTCTACGTCGACTTTGAGTTCCTCGAGGATTTCATCCGGACACAGAGAAGTGAGCGTCTTTCGTCCGAAGCGAGGGAGTTCGCGGACTTGCGTCCGCAGACAACAAATGGCGGGCCAACTCAGATGGCTACCGCGAATGGGGACATCATCGAAATGCCATCAGGATCTTCTATTCAGGAGGAGAAAGTCAAGGTGGAACCCAAGCAGACCATGACAGACAAGATTCCTGCCCAGCGGTTCAGTTTCTTCTCCTCGGCCTGGGACCAGACCATCCACGCAGCGGATCTGGAAGACCTAGCCCTACCAGGAGAGGAGCTGCGGAACCTCTTCACCTTCCCGAATGATGGCGAAGACTATGTCTGGTGGTTGAATGTGAACTGTCCCACTGACGACGAGGTGCGCGCGATCTGCAAGGCTTTCGGCATCCATCCCCTGACAGTCGAAGATATTACGACACAAGAAGCCCGTGAGAAGATCGAACTGTTCAAGTCCTACTACTTCGCCAATTTTCGATCCTACATGGCCGTGTTTGATGAGGATGGCGACCGAGAATTTGAGCCGTTCAACATGTTTGTGATCGTGTTCCGTGAGGGTATTCTCAGCTTCAGCCACACCTTCAACTCGCACGCGTCCGAAGTCCGTCAGAGAATCTCAACGTTGAAGGACTACGTTGATCTTAGTGCTGACTGGATTTGTTATGCAATTATGTGAGTCAGACCTCGTCGTTCTGTGCTAGTAACTGTCACTAAACTGTCCACAGCGACAACATCGTGGACAATTTCGGCCCGGCCATTACTGAAGTGCAAAACGCGGCTGACGCACTCGACGATGACGTCTATCGAGCCCGACCCGACGATGAGGAGAACCATCCCTTCTTGCCAAGACTCGGCCACATTCGCAAGAACATCATGGGTCTGATGCGCCTCCTCGGAGGCAAAGCCGACGTTCTCAAGGGCTTCACCAAGCGCTGCAACGAGAACTACCAAGTCACTCCGCGTATGGAGGTCGGCCTCTATCTGGGTGATATTCAAGATCACGTTGTTACCATGATGAATACGTTGGGACACCTCGAGAGAATGCTGTCGAGAGCCCATAGCAACTATCTAGCGCAGCTGAGCATCGACAGCATCACCCAGGGCACCCGAGCGAACAAAGTTCTTAGTAAGATCACGTTCCTCGCTTCCATCATTGTGCCTCTGAACGTGGTCACGGGTCTTTTCGGCATGAACGTCCCGGTTCCATTTGGAGACCCTGGCAATCTCACAGCCTTCTTCACCATCCTGGGTCTTCTGATCGCCTTCTCGATCATTTGCATCCTAGTTGCTAGGAGGCTTCGTTACATATGATGCGGGTACAACCGAACTTGTTGGAAAGGGTGGCAGTTTTCTTCTTCTTTGGCTACTCGGCGCACAGTGTCACAGAGTTTCACCGCCGTCTAAGTTGAGACAATACATGGTGCTAATGGGTGGTGGTGGATGTGTCGCCATTTCTGGTGCAGCGTTTGTTATCGTGCCACACTGGACTAGATATATGAATAGACTAGACGAGGTGAAAGGCGTAGAGTGGATAGTACTTAGAGACAAATCAGTCACAAAATCATTCTTTCCCATCGTTACTGTTGTCACTTGTGCAGACTGTCTCCTCTCCATGCTCTGTATCCCAAGGTACATTCCTCATACCCGGCGTCTTCAAACTCCGGGATCATGTACGATGCTCTATGAAGTCCTCGAGCTACTAGGATGCATGAATATTGCTCAAACTTGATTAGGATGATCGTCCAATTCATCCCGCAAATATGCATATTTTTCCTCATCGGCCTCCCAATCGTCGTATGTCTGGTTATCTGTGTCGCCGCACCGCCATCAGCCACATTCTCCAGGAAGGGAAAAGACTTCAGACAGACAAGAAACGAGACAATGTCCCAGATAGAAAACAGCAGTGTACAGTCTCTTGATCTGTGCTAAAGCAAACGGACTGAAGAGACAAGGAGCAGGGGCTGGATTGTATTAGTACTACTCACTCCAGACAGGGAACTTGGCCAGAGAATCCCATCTCTTGTCCATCAAAAGGGTACTAGCGAGCCCGGCGGTGCCCTTTGGCATGTAGATCTGGCGGGTGATGCCCTCGCCGTCCGTGTAGCTCATCATGTTGCACTCGACGGTCTTGGTGATCGGGCCAGGAATGGTGAGCCCAGGTGGGAGTCCTGCCTCGCTACCGCCCACATCTATTTCTATCTGGTTTGTTTGGGGCTGCTCGTGTCCTGATGGTGCTTTCCTCGATGCTGCTGGGCCATCGTTGTCACCCTTCGACGAGGTCGTGGTGGCCATCTTTGGGCTCGGGGTCGAGGTTGGCATTCTGGTGGTGTGCAAATTAAGGGTGTGATCTATGAAAGATTGCTATTGTTCATTATATGTGGAAAGATGACTTACGTACTGTTTAGCCACCAGTGTCAAATATATGTGGCGACCTCAGCATGATGCGCTGTAGTAAGCCCTAGGCAGCAGCCCACGGGAAGACTAGTAAGGCGAACATGATTGGGATATGCTTCTGAGAACTAGGCGTTAGCCACTAGTATAGATATATTCCGAGATTCGTTTTGAAAGTCTCGTGAAAATTTATTTGGTTCTGCCTGGAACTGAATTTATTCTAGATTGATTCGACGTGTAGGAGATTGTCTGTACGGCTTGTCGATGGCCTCTTCGCCCGGCAAGTATCTCAGCATAGTGTTCTGTGAACAAATTCAAATCGTATTGAGACCATAGATATTCCCAGAACATCATGATGTTCCAAGCAGGCTTCTACATAGGTAGGCCTTCAACAGGGTGGATGCGGTAGGCTATGAACAGCTCTGAGGTGCGACCAGCAAGTGCTATCGACCGCAACCACTTGCTCTCATATGACTAGACTTTCGACCATATTCGAGAAAGTCATTCTTCTCCCTAGAGAGTGAAAGAATCTTGCGTTGCACAGGTGCACTACTCTACACTCCATCCAACAATCCCCCGTGGCTTCCGGCAGCACGTTCTCCAATTAGGCTGTTTCCCACAGAACCCGGTGTCTACTCCCTTCGCCTGACACCAAATCTTATATCAGTGTCTTGGACATGTGTTGAATAAATTGGGTGTCACGCGCCTGATCTTTCCAGATCGATGATCTCAAGCCATGATATCATGTCATGGTACGAGGGCGGTCTCAAGCGCACCTCGAAACTTCATGTACGACTCGTCGCGCTCACTCTTCAGTTCGCATGGATTGCAAGCAATCTCAGGGACAATGTGACTCTCCTGTCTCTTGCAGTGCTGCGCGGAATCTGTACGAGATTTGAGGAACCTTCACATCCATCTGCGCTCAACCCAGCTTATTTCCATTCATCTCTCTGAAGCCTAGTGGACAGGGTTCCTGATCATTCTAGAACTTCAACTTGGGGATGACCTCTGACTCGGGGGCTAAACAGGTCGAACCCTTGCAGGTCATGTGCAAATGAATGCTGCTCTTGGTATTGAGAGGCTGAGCAGACACATTGCCGGCCCCCGGGGGCTACCAGGTCGAGACAATTGGCGTCTCCGAAGAAACATATCCGAGAAACGAGTTCGCGCGTGCTCTTGAGAATCACCCGCAGCCTCCGGCACATTTGACTGGCACCGAGTACACTTGTCCCTAGGCCCAAGGCAATCCTCATCTATCCTGCACTTGCATAATAAGTGAAACACAAAGAACAGACGGCGAGTAGATTCGTGACTTGCCCTTTGCTCAGTCCTTGCCATTTCCCAAAAGCTGACGACGAAACTTTTCGCCAGACCAACACCGTCCCCTTCCTGTGATCAAGTGAAGGCGTAAAATCGGAATCGCGCTCGTACAATTTCGTAGACCTTGCTTCCCGGACCGAACCATATATAGCCTTGGATGATCTCACGTCTTTGCCAGGGTGCCGTGGCCGGCGTACGATGGTAATGTGGTCCAATGGACCCTACGGGCAGGGGAAGCTTTTCTCGAAAAAAAACCATCACGGGGTCCGTGTCCGGAACAGATTCCGGCACGCTGCGGCCCAGAAGTATGATTTTCAGCCCCAAAATTGAAGGGTACGCCTCCGCGTCAGCCCCCGGATACGATATTGCCGTCGGCTTTGCGGCCTTGGAAGAAGTGCCGTTGTCTGCCCAGCAATAGTGTCCCCACCGGCCTGAGGGAATTAGGGGATTCGGAGAGTTATACGGGGCTCTACTATGCCGTGGCCCGTATAGCGAAATCGAGCACTTCCTGGTCCAGTGCCTTGTCAATAAGACAGCTCCTTTCCAAGGACGTTGGCAGGTAGCAGCCGATGGTGTTGCAACGCTGGCAACGTCTGACCGACGAGCGTAACCCAACACTGTGACCAAGCATCCGTGATGGACTGGAGACCTTGAGCTTAACAAAAAGTTGATTATATGAGTCCCACGAAAATTTTTGGGAAAAGTGATTAGCCAGCAGCACGAAGCAAGCAAGCAAGCTCTCCAGGGCAAGGTCTCTAGGGAAGCTCGTGCCTTGCACATGTGCTTTACACTCTGCGAGGCTCAACTATCAGTCGAGATGGGTCATGCCTTGAAAGAGACACCGAGAGAGAGTTTCATAAAAGGCCCTAGAATATTGTTGGGATCTGGGCCCGCCGATCCCTTCGGTCTAATGAAGCGCGACGATGAAGCCGTTGCTGGGAAGAATGGTCGCCGAAAGCAACGCATCATTGCCCTTCCGGCCCACCGCTCCATCCACAGTGACTCCCGGGGCGGCGAGTACAGTACCACAGTAGCAACCGGCCTAGCGGTAGGCATGTGAAGCCCTCGGTGGCCCCCCGCCATCCCGAACAGTGGCTTTCGACGTTGTGACCCAAGGAAACTATGGCGAACATTAGCGGGCTTCGGTCAAGTTAGCGCCAGGGGAGCACCGCAAGACGTTGAGGGCGAGAGAGGATGAGGCTAGCCTTGCAACGAATCGATGCCCCGGTCGGGATCTTCGTTGGAAGCGCCTTTTGGGACCAGCACAATCAAAAGTGAAGGCCGGCAGCTGGGAGAAAGAAACGTAGCGACAGGCCCCGCTCGCGAACACGTTGGGGGAAATTGAGCCGGGGGAGCAAGAGGGCAATCGTCTGAGCTCGATCGATATCAGAGCCCATCGCCGGGGGCATCCCAGCCCGCGGCGGCTCCCATTGGGGTCAGAGTCTCGTCGGAGACGACGTGGGTCCTGGGACCACCATGGGGCTTCGTTGGACTTGCTCCGTGCCGGTGCACGCTTCGCAACGGGCCCTGGGGCCCCATCAGCAACGAACGACCGGCGGCGCCCTCGTTGGTGCCAGGACAGGTATAACGCCGATGGCGTCCCGAGGCTGGCGACTCGAGATGCTGTGTTCACCCACGACCCCTGCCCACGGCGGGAGCAGAAAGCTCAACTCTGGCAAAAAGAATTATGGGGACCAGGCGTACGTGCGCTGGACCGGATCATCCGAGTTTGACAATTACGCAGCTCGCACGATAGTCTATCAATCTATGGGCATCTGTCGTCTTCTTTCGAGGCGAGACGTCAGCATCACGAGAGCTGAATGGTTCCGGTGGTCTCTCTGTGTTCCCTCCAGAAGCGTGCCGTGTATGCAGCTGCAGCATGGTTGCGTGCGTGCGTGCGTGTGTGTGTCTAGGTCTAGGCGCATATGTCGTGTCGCCCTGATTTGGTCACACCGGTAGACAGCGCGCCTGCTTGCAGTGCTAGACTACCAGCAACATGGCTGGGGACCGATGCTGCTGCTGCTGCTGCTGCTTCTCTTGGTTGCAAGGTAAGACATTTAGCGAACGAGATCCGACATGGCGGGACCGCCTGGAGGATTCGAGCAAGGCAGTATGCGAGATTTATTGTGGCGATGCCACTGCTTTTTCCCACCAGGTTACTGTCATTTCTGGATAAGTCTGTTTCGGCGCCTTGAGCTATGCACAGTTTTAATAGATAGCTGGTCTACTGGAATTGTCTTTGCCCCCCCAGTGTTGATAACAAAAACATTGTCTCTGGGCTGCTGGGGGGGAGCAGGCGTGGACTGCAAGTCATCTTTTCGGGCGCAGTGCCTACGGAACAGTCCATGTATCTCTATCCTTTTCATGCTGATCAGTGACTGATCATAAAGAACAGGTCAGGCAAAGTCCCATGGCCGGAGTTCAACTGCAGCCTGCAACCTGCAGCCCAGCTCCCAGCTGGTCTTAGCCAGCGAGCCAGCCCCTTCTATCCCCCCACCTCCGCCCCGGGGGAGAGAGCATGTCTGCATGTGCTTGAGGCCCAGCAGGTCTAGCAGGTCCGAGGGAACCTCTCTGCTGCGTCTCTGGAGGGCCTTTGGTGGAGCAGCGGGGATTCCAGGCTGGCGACCCCCGAGGGCCCCGCCAGTGCCCACTCTGTGACCTTCGAGGGCTCTTCCCACCTGCCAGCTTGATGGAGACAGCAGAGAGAGCGAGAGCGGGCCCATGGGGGCGGGCGCATTGTGCATACGTAGTAGTGAATCCTCACAGAAGGAGCAGGGCTGCAGGAGTGTCTGTCGAGGAGAAGAGGAATGAGGGTCCAGTCCAGGCCCAGGCGGCGGCGGCCAGCAACGAGAGGGCGGCGGCATCTTGGCGTCCACCTTTCGATAGCTGAAGAAAAAAGGAAGATGATCGGCCTGTCGACCTGCCGTGGCATGGGGGGGCATGGGGGCCTTGATAGGCTAGATGCATGCGTGTCGCCTGCACGCGAGTGGGATAATCTCTCAAAGGAAGAAAGGCGGCCGATCAATGATGGAATCCTCTTGGTCCGTCTCTGTCTCCCATCGCGCGCATGCAGGGGCCGCGAGGGACTACTCTGTAGCAGCCCCAATGACTGGACCCTGTCACGCCTGTCTGTCCTGGGCATTCCACCTGCCAGTCACACACAAGGCCCGTCGGAGGCGAGGATTTACATTGGCGGTGGTGTCCTTGGGGTGGCACTGCAGGCGCCTGGCTTGCATGTTCATGTACAGTACACACACACAGACACAGCAGAGGGGAGGAAGGGAAGGCAAGGGAAGGGAACATGCATCCCTGCTAAGCTTTGCTTTCAGGCTGTTCTTGGGTTTGGCCGGGGCTAGGTTCCTGGCGACGTAAGTCTAAGGTTGCCCTACTACATCATCCACGAATCTCAGAGTGGTAATCTGGTCTAATCTACTTGGTCTGTCTGTCGTTTGCCGGACCGTCTGTGCTGATCTCGTCCGCGCCAAACCCTGCAGGCGGGCTGCGCTTGCAGGCTTGGTTCTCGGGAATTTGCGAACACTGGCCACTGCATATCAGGCCAATTTCAACAGGTACCACGTCTCTCTTGTCGTCCCAGACTCGACCCGTCATAACCATATCGGTATTGCCAGCAATAACACGATGCGAATTCCCCGAGACCGGGGAATCGCTGGCCAGATTGCCAGATTGCTTTTCACGGGGCAGCCGCTCTCGCCTGCAACGGGCAGGGCGCGGGTGGCTGGCCGTTGTCCCTCGTTGCGCTGCTGGAGATCGACTCGTGTCGCACAAAGCTTACTATTTACACAGTATCGCGTCTGTGTGCCTACACATTGCTCCTGCGAAAAGCGAAAGGCCGTCATGCTGACGCCGCGCAACCTAGTCAGCTAGCTAAGCAGTCCATCTTTCACCCTTATGCCATGCAAGCCGGGGGTTTCATCTCCACCAGCACTTGCATAGCACATAGTACCCAGTTTAGACCATCTCATTTCCAACCTGTTCTCATCTGAACGCGCTCGCCTCCCACCCTGCTCGACGTCACACACATGGCTGATGGAGGGTAGGAACCAGGACGACGGGTCCGAACCGCTTCCTTGTCGGCTCGCCGGCTCGATGGGCCCCCCGACGAGAAAATGCACTCAGCAATGCAATGCGATCGCAGGCTTGTTGCGGGGTGCAGGTCCGCCTCTTTCATCAATGCTGCCCAGATGTGCTCACAAGCCCAATGTCCCGGATCACGGAGAGCAAGTTAGGTCCAGGCACCGGTTGTGCCCAAGGCTCAACCCAGTGTTCGGCGCCTCGTCCAAGAAAAAAGAGGCGCGCGTCCTGAGCCTGAGCAAAGCTCCAAGGCAGGAGCTTGTTGCGCGCGATACGAACCGCAGAAGGGCCGTGGCCTGATTCATCCCCACAAGAACTGCTGCGAATGAAGATGCCATCCTGAAAAACAAGCACACGGTTGGACTGGCAGATCTTACCACAAACAAAACAAACAAGAAATGTCTGTGTTCAGACGTTGAGACATGAAACAGAGCCGCTCAGAGCGTTGACCCTGTCGTCGCGTGTTTTAATGCGCACCCGACTGATTGGACGAACCGTCCAGATGCCAATCACGGACAGCCTTCCAGCTGCTCCTTGTCAGGGCATGCCTTGGCGAACACATCATTTGACGATGACTATCGAGAACTCCGCAGCTGAGTCGTAAGATGCTCGCTTTTCGTGGCCGCCCTCTGATCTGGGCACCGGCGCTACGATGAAATACTGTTACATGCCCGTATCTGCTCAAGGTTTGGTTCAAAGGGGGATCAGGACCACGGATCGATCATGCTATACATCTGAGCGCTATGGGTGTCCAAATCTTCCGTATCATTAGCCGGCAGGATCAGCAATCGCCTCAGGCGTGCTTGGCCCCTGCCCCCCATGCCAGCCTCACTTTGGTGGCCCAAGAAGGGAAAAATGAGGATCTTGACCCTGATCGCCGACCTTGGTTGTGGGCATTTTCACGCGATGGGGAAGACCCCGTAGGTTCCAGGCCAGGTCCATTCTCCCCTGAGCTCTCGTGATGTGGAGTCCCGGTTGCCGGCAGGGGGGAGACTGGTGCCCACCAGACGGCATCGCACGGTGTCCGGGCGGCGTTGTCAGCCTTTCCGTCGTCCAGCAGCTCCTCGTGCGTAGATCAAAACGCACGACTCGAAACACCTCGATATGAGCGCTGTCGATCTCACCCGGTGTCTCTCGCTCTGCCGAACACTATTATGTTGCGTTTTCTTGATCGACACGATAGGGCCTTGGGGCAATCCGTATTATGCCAACAGATATTGGGGCAGTCTCTTCCAGAATGGACACACGGACAACGCTCAAAAGCCCGCATGAGGTTGATTTGACATGGTTGAGCAGGGCCGGGCAGCTTGAGTCACGTCTGTCGCTGCTGCGTGATAATACTGCCGTGGCACGCCGTTTCTATGAGGTACATATGCATAATGGTTTGTGGGCCTTCGTGCAGACGTGCAGATGCCGGGTATCGTGAGCTCGAGTAATTGAGTCGAATCCAGCCACGACCTACCGTTCTCGGCTGCTGATCCGCTGCAAGTGGCTCTCCCACAGCTCTAGCATCTTGAACGGGGACCTCCCGGCAGACGGCTCTTGTCTGCCAGTCTGCTTGTTGACCTTAAAAGGGAAAGACGGCCAGGTGAAACCCTACGAAGAGACCAGCTCCCAGGGATCTATATCCAACCTTCTATTGCAAGGACTTCCTTCGGCAACTTCGTAACAGTACATACCTATCCACCTTGGACCTATTCGCTGCTCGGTTCGCCGTAAAATCTCACATTTCGGTGTCAGAGTGTCCAGACCCGTCTCCCGTCTTAAAAAAAGAAGCATTCTCCTTTTTTTTCCTTCCGGAAGATGCAGGAGGTCTAGTATGTTGTCGTAAGCTTGAACACGACATATTGTAGGGCGACACAGCCATATTGATCGTCAACGAGCCTGCAACGCAAGAGGACGGATGCAGCGTGATCTCACCGCGTCCTTCTCTGTCAGGCTCTTGTCATCAACCCTACGTACAACATGGTCCCTTGTCGCGGGCGGGGAAGGCTTCTAGGGTCCAAGGGTCCCCTGTACCTCATGCGAGCCCCGGTCCTAGAGACAAAAGATCCACATGTACGAGCCGGGGGCCCTATGACTGGCTATACAATTAGCCCAAGCATCGGTCGCACAAGTGCGAGGTTGGGCTACCATGTATCTATCTAGGTTCGGTACGATGAGGAAATATGCCCAACCGTCAGAACAACAGCACGGCATCTGTTGGCACCGGACGCAGAGAGAACATGCCCGGGGAGAAGAAGCATTATCTGATGGGGAGGAAGCCACAGCCAGAGAATTTTATATCGCTCTGGATCACATGCCTCGAAAAAGCTAGATCGGAGAGAGAGCGGACAAAAATCCCGTTCTTGACAGCAAACCGAGCACAAGAAGCCAACTACGGGGCACAAGAAGTGCAAGCAATCCACCAGATCCAATGTTTTCTGGCCTGGCCCGGGTTTCCGGTGCCCCTGCCGTTTCATGGAGCCCAGATTCCGTGAACCACTCAACGGTGGAACCCGCAGTATGAACCCCCTATTAGAGGAAGCCCTGCTGTCCACTCTTAGCTTGCTGCTAAGCCGATGACAGTTTCAACCCTCCCTCAAGGAACTCGTCCTCTTACCGCGGTACTTGCTTCGACCTCAGCTCACAGCGCTGAGCGATCACATTAGAAAGCCCTGCCGAGAAAGCATCTGAAAGTCCAGTTCCCAATCCCCAACAGAGTATCAGCAAAAGCCAGTCTCGCGATAGGCTGGATAGTGGTCTGGACTGGCCTCTGCCCGCGTCTTCGTCCATTGCATTCAATACATTGGTCGCGCGCAGTCGGTCTCAGCTCTCAGTGGCTCCGAGCCTGCGACCGTACAGTAGTCTACAGCCGCCATTCGCGGGTGTTCTCACATGCATCGCGAGCTCTCCCCCGCCCCGAACACGACCCGGTTTGCTGAGCCTGAACGGCACATGTTCACGACGATCACGGCCTCGCCCCACGAGAATTCTTACAGACCGTCCTTTGCCGATTCTCTCATAATTCCCACTCATTCTCTCAAACACTGACTCACCGCGCGTGCGGTCACTATCACACTCGCTATCACACTCTCAAAGCCCTTGTTGGCCGGTTTTGTCCAGACTACATTGCCCTACAGATTCGCGGGCTGCCTGCAAGTACTTGTGCTTCTGGGGAAATTATCCATTACCTAGCCGCCCAAAATAGTAAGACGAGGTGTTTGACAGCAGTGCCATCAGCCTTGCGTGGCGCGATTCGGGGTGGCATTGGTTATTTACACACAATTTCGATAATTTCCGGCTGGACACCTCTCCAGCTCATTTGGTACGCGCCTGAATCAGCAAGACGAGAGACAACCCTCAGCATTGGTTGTACCCTTGCCCAGCGATATCCTCAACATATGAGCCAGAACAACACGACCGCTCTGCCATCAACGGCCCAATCAGCGCTAGACCGTCCTGACTATTGCCAGCTGGAAGCTGCAAGGAGGTGATGGTTGTGCTGTTGTGCCGCGTCGCTTCTGCACACCTGGACTACACGGTCTTCGAGAAGCATTCGACTACTTTCTTGGCTTCGGGTTCCTGCCCCTAGTCTGCGAAAGCAACGGCCACACAGCTGCCGGCTCGGCCGCGTTCCAGCGCCGTTGTCTTTTCCTCGTGAGGAGACACGCGAGGACCACATTTTCCGCCTCACCCAGGTACTCCTGTCTTCCGTAGTGACCTTTGTCAGGACGGGATACCCCAGTGCTTAGGTTGCGAACCTTCGAGGTTGCATCAGGAACAGCGGATTGGGACTTCGGCATCCTCCAAGCACGTACTCCCTTGGGTGCCGATCTGTTTTAATTTCACCGTTCCAATTGAGCGGATCGGACAGTAAGTGCCCCAGTTTTGATCAATCCGCCTGGTTTATTCGCCAATGTCCCATAACCCCTGACACTTTTGCGCGAGTTGCATAACAAGCCAGAATCCTTGATATCTTGGCCTGTCACTGCCCCTTCATTCATTCTTTTGAGCCCTCGCATTGTTTTGCGCTTCTGATTGTTCACCACGCGACAAGTGCTTCAATTGTTTTACTTCGGTCTTCTCCCCTGACCCAGAACACCTCACCGCCTGACACGCGGTTTTCTTTTTTGTTCCGTGCGGCCTTGGTACTATTGGGAGCCCTTCTGCACCTCGACAGACCACTTACGAGACAAGCAGGGCGTCGAACTCGTACACGCGGGTTTCACAGAGCGCGCGAAAAGCAGCATTCCCGTCTGGTCGGAAGCCTTTCAGACTAGTGAATCGGGACAACCCTGGTTATTGTCCCAGGACGTCTGCACCGGTGGTCATCGAGCCAACCACCCACCACCTTGTTCGCTTCCGCGTCATATAGATTACGGGAGAGATGCGAACAGCACTGGGAGCGTCTGGGGGTTACTGGTCCACCCAACACCAGCGAAGGTCCACCAAAAAAAGCATGAGTGAAGCTGGCCCCGATCCATCTCACCAAGACAGCACCTCTCCTGCACTTAAGCATTACGCCCCATCTGGTTCTGGTAACGAATACTTTGACGATTTTCTCGAACCTGCTATTGATGGTCCCCCTTCGCCAGCCCGGATCAGAGCCCTGAGCAACAAGGTGAAGCAAGCATCAGTATCGGAGCGACATGTGAGCCAACAGACGACTTCATCTGGGTCATCATCTCTGCTTTCTCTTGGATCAGTCGACCGACGGCCATCCTGGGATCAAGCTCTGGAGTCCTTCTCGCTGTCCAGGAAGTCCTCGACCCGCTCGACGACAAGCAGCATGCGAGAGCGTCCAGAAAGCGTGCAGGCAATCGGTAAGGCCATATTCAATCGGAAGACTAAGCTCAGGAGAGAGAGTCTGGTCAATAGCGGAGGAAGTTCAGTCTACTCGACAGACATGGCACCTGACAGCACAGGCGAACGATCTCGTGCACCTTCCGTCACCAAGGAACATACTCTGTCCGGCATGAACTTTTTCAACCGCCGGAGGACTGTGCAAGCACCGGAGGAAGCATTATCGCAGAAGCGACCGCAGATATCGAGTCCCTTTAACTTCCAGCACGTTGCTCAAATACAGCGGGATCAGGTGCCGACTCTGGAACAATCGAGTCAAGTGCTCCCGCAGAACGAGTGGTCGGCTGCCCGTGCCTCCGAAATGCCAGCTATGGGAGCGTCGAAAGGTATCATGGCGGAGGACTTACGTGTGCCCAACTTTTCGTCAAAGGCTACACGCCCACACGATGATGATGACATCGCGCCGCATGTTGTACCTCACCGACGGGAGAACAGCATCGTTCGTCCACCAAGCTGGCACAAATCCCCTCCAAGGCCAATGGTGAAGCATTCGCGATCTCAGGACCAGATTCCTGGCGCGCCTCCACCGAGGCCACCAAGATCGCCGACGGACCTGGATCTGAATTTCGACCTCACCCCTCCTGTGCCTCCGCCCCGCAGCTCCAGTCGGCCATCAGTCCCACGTCGCGACTCCGAAGCCCTAGGAAACATCATGACCGACCGATCGCAGGGACTGAGTGGGTTCCGCTTTCCGCCGCCGCTTTCAATCCATACGGACGCGAACAGCCCGCCGTCAACGTCACAGGGACCGTCTAGCCCCACGGCCACGGCAGAGCGTCGGTACTCGCGCTTTTTCCTGCCTTCACCTACCGAGACCCCCAACTGGCCTCTGACATGTCCGCTACACAACGCCAGTGTTTCAACATTCGAAGCTGGCCTCCCTGATGTGCCTGAAGAGGAGGAGCAGCACGGTTTGCCTAAGAGATCGCGAGCGAGTATCCGCAGTACGAACTCCTCGCTTCGAGGATCGCAATCTGTGCCGGCCCTGCGGAAGGCGTCGGTATCTGACTACAGCTCGCATGATCGTAGTCTCAGCAGGGAGTCGACGATATTTGGACATTTCGACATGGCCGCCGCCGAACGAGCAGAGAGAGAGGCCATGGAGAACACCCAGGACGATTCGGACCCGCTTCCTCGGGATATCTGGGAGGATGTGATTGACTACTGCTATGAACATGAAGCCGAGGCCCACTGCGACTATGACTGGGACCGGCCATCAATCGACATGGGCAGAGAGCCCACCTTCCTGTTCACCGAAGATGAGAATGATGACGGGACCTTCTTTCGGCCGACCTCCGACCACTTCGAAATCCCAGCCTTGAGCCCCTGCAGCCATCTCTCCGTGGGCAGCGCCCAAGACGCGCAAGAGGCTATCACGCCTACCATCTCAGCCTCAGGCACGAAATCCCCTACGAGATCTAACTTCTCACTTCCCCGACGAGATGGTGGCCAACCACAGCGCCTGCTCCATGTGCGGACCACTTCGCAAGCATCGGTTGCTAAGGAGGGATTCACTCTTTCGCCGTCAATGCTGATCCCGACTGATTACCATCAAGAAATGCTTGCTCACCAGAACGAGCGCTTCGAGGAATCTGAAGGTCTTGGCCAGGCTGTGACATGGGAGGAGCCGACAATGACAGCGGACGGTGCAAACTTGTTCGTGCCGATCAGGGCTAGCAACTCGACTACCGCGAGCGCAATGTCGTCGCGATCCAACTTTGACCGACACATCTCTACAACCTCGTCCACCAACACGGACTACACCCGCATGACCATGAGCACCAGCTCAGTCAACATCGAGGACTACCTGCCGAAGGACGATGCGCCACGAGCCATCACCAAGGATGACCCCGAGACTTCGCAAGCCTCCGCTGCCATACCCCATGCGCGGTCCCAGAGCATCGCTGGTCTGCTGAACTCGATGGACTCGAGCCCCCTGAGCCGCGGCAACCACAGCAGCGACCCGAACCTCGACAAGCTGCGGTCCGCCAAGCGCCAGGTTGGCCGTGGGCGCGCCAGGACGCTGAGCTCCAGCCCCCCTCCTCCTGGACAATACGCCCTGTTTCCCAGGCCCGCGAACCTGAAATAAGCTCACATACTGAGCACAATCAATATTTTCCGACAATCGCCCGCATACAGCTCGATTTGTTCTATCTACACACTATCCCGATGTCTCGTCTCGGTTTCCTTTTATGTCTATGTTGCGGTGCTCGGAGCTGTCAATATTGTTTCCCATCTTCCTGAACAGGCGCGACGTTTTTCTTTCTGTCTTATCAGCATCTGGATTATTATTTCTAGGCCCCGGCTTGGGTCATAGGAAGGACACTCGCCTGTTCGAACTCGGCAGGCCACTTTGTTATTTCTTAAACTTGCGGGGTGCTAAAGAAGCGCTCTGAGCTCTCCCGGTCAACAGCCACACACACGCACTCTTTTCCTTTCTGTTGTTTCTCAGCGGTGGTTCAAGGCGCAACAACATGGGACAGATTACTCCCTCGGGCTCTTTGCATTCATGGACACAGGCCATTTATAGACCAAAATTTCTGGGACTTCACTGGGGAACGGTGTTTCAAATCGGTTGCTTTTTCCCCCAAAAAGGAGCAAGGGGGACTGGGGCGATGGGTGACGCTTTTCTATCTGATGGCCTCTCTTTTCCAAGCTGTATCGGGGCAAGTGATGGTCGGGGGGAACGGCTTGGGGTTTAATTCGGCCCATCTCCGCCTGCTCGGTCCAAAGATGCCGGAGCATGGCACAAAACATAAAAAATCCTCTGGGGACTTAATAGTACTGTGCTATTATCCTGTATACCTACTGTACTGTACTCTAGCTGAGCCGAGATATGGGGCCGCGCGGGACAAAAATTAATGCTACTGTGGTATCAACCCTATATCTTGCCCCGTGATTCACTCATTGTGGAGAGACGTGATGAAGAGCAAGGACCAACGTTCTTGCGTGTCGAGTGACGTCTACAGGCGCTTGAGGCTCTTGTACTGGTGTCAGGATGACTCGCATGCCATTTGGGGTCAGTGTCTCGGGAAGGAAGGCGATCATCAGGAACGTGTGGTGTGTGACACTCTTCTTGTCAAGCCACGGTACTACGGTAACTCCCAGGTCCTGCAAATGAGATGGTGTCCCCTAATTTTAGCCCAACTCTACCCAATTGGTCAAACGTAAGTGAATGTGATGTGTCGATGAGTGGTGGTCACAACTCATTGGTGAACTCTTTTTAGACTAACAGCTTCGTGCTCAGATTATAGAGGGCACGTGATGGACTACGACGTGAAGCTGTCACGCCGTGGGAAACCACTCGAGAAACCAGGTTTTTTTCAGGAGATTCTTGAAGACAATATGATGTGAATTCACGGGGAGGAAATCAAAACCTGTGTCATTTTCCGCCTCAAAGTCAGAAGTCAATCTCAAGAGGTGGCAAGTGGTCCAGAGAGGTGACACTGAGACATACGTTCATAACGTGAGCAGCGCATTCAGAAGGAAGCCGGCTAATAGGACCAACGCAGGCAAGGGAGGGGGGAAAGTAAGGGATCCAAAATTATGCTGCACTTCAGCCGGTGGCTTTTCAGCAAATATCCACTGCCTATATCGACACGAATAAGACCATATCAATTCCTTTTCCAATCAAACCTCCCAGCCCAAACTATGAGGCTGCATAGAAGTCCTACACCAGTAATGCCCTGCCCTTACATGGCAACTAGAGCATTGCTACTCTCCGTCCAAGCCCACAACTGCCGCCACCAGCCCACGGCCCCAACGACGAGCAGGACATAGTACGCGAGGGACCACACCCTGCCCACAGGGACGGCGTCGCCGTCGCGGCCCCTGCCCTCGACGGCGCCCCAGACGCGCGGCAGGCCCATGCAGTTGCACAGGACGTGGACGGCGAAGACGGCGAGCAGGCTGCCGGAGCGCAGGTAGACGAAGGTGGCGTAGGCGCCGAAGAGGGTCGTGTAGCCCAGCTGGAAGGCGGAGCGCAGCAGCGCCGCCGCGGGGGGCACGCCCGGGTGCGTGACGCGGAACTCGTAGAAGTGGTGCACGTGCGCCAGCCCGAAGACGAGCGGCGACACGAAGATGGTCCTGGCCAGCGGGGTGCGCGCCAGGACCATGAGGGGCACCGCGGCCGAGCGGAACAGGATCTCTTCGGTCAGTGGGCCCTGTTGCGCGGTGTGTTTTAGCGAGGTTGCAAAGTGACGGTGAGGCGGTGGGGGAGCTGATATAGATGAATACGGGGGGGAAACCAGGAAAGGGCCGGGGGGGGGGGGTTGTTAAGGGCCTACAGCAACGATATTCCTCCACGCAGTCATCTCCCGCAGGACCTCCTTGACAGGCTCAAGCGCGACCCAGTCTCGCCACCCGTCCTCGACGACGAGGGCCTCGAACAGCGGGCCGAGGAAGAGCGTTGCCGTCAGGAGCAGGGCCTTCAGCGCCTCGGCCAGGCCGACGGGCCAGTACCCGAGGGCGTGAAGCGCGCCGCCAGCATCATAGCCGCCCACTCGCGTGAGCACGGCAAAGGTAGTGAGCGAGGTGACGGCGCAGGTGATGGTCACGGACGTGATGCGCGCGCGGATCACGGAGGGCGCATCCCGGCTGAGAGTGGGCGAGGGCCGCGTCTTTGGCGAGAGGTAGAAGGGGATGACGTAGAGGAGCGTGTAGAGAACCTGTGAGGCGTGTCAGAACATGTGCCATGGTGTATGCGCATGCGAGTCTGACTTACTAATAGTAATACCGCGGTGGACGTCGTGATGGGCGGCGGTGCCTCGGCTGAAAGGTGTGTGTCAGTACTGAGTCTGGAGAGCGACAATCGTGACTGGATTTTGAGGGAAAATGAATGGCCAGCTTCTCACCCTCCTTCTTGTATAATAGTTCCGTCAGATATTTTGTGATTGAAGGCATTTTGACACCGAAAGATAGAACGAGCCGCTCCTTGTGTTGAGCAATGTACACACAGGTGAAGCACCGGAAAAAGCTTCCTAGAACCCTGCTCAGCTTCCCGACGACAGTGGACCCTCCGAACTTGGAATTCAGACCGACTGGTCTCTCAAGAGAAAGAGTACAGCGTCTGGAGATTTCAGAATCTACGTTCCTCACAATGAGTTGAGGGCGGGGAACAAGAACAATATTACGGTTTTGTTTGTGTCGCCAGATTGCCGCAACGAGACCGGACGGCTGACGTGCCATTCTTTAAGCCAACCCCACCGTGGATCCAACCGAGCGCAGGCTAGCCAACAAACCTCTGAAAGCACTTATTATATTCACGGGCCGTTGGTTTGAGGTCATTTGCAAATGTAATAATTATTTTGTGACCATGGTCACATGCATGCTGCGTGGGTAGTGGCCTATAGGCCACGTGGTGGTGCTGGTGAAAAACTAACTGAGAGCCCCAGGACACCACCCGTGTCGCACGTGTAGAGTAACACTACATTCCCACCGTATCGTATAGTCTATACTGTCATAAGGCTTCATACCAGCCGTCCAAAGAGGTGCACACGCCCCTTCCTATCCCAACGCAATGCATAGCTCGCTATAAACAAACAACCATGAGATCGTGACCGAACCGCAAGCCATTGAAACCTTGACATGGCCTAGTCCACCACCAAGCCCTGAGTGTCCCAATTCCTCTATCTCACACCTCCTCGCTAGCGACAGCCTCGTATGCACCTCTCCTCCTGCCAATCATCTCCATGAGGCTCGGCGTCTCGTACATCGCAGCGTAGTTGACAACCTGCCCGCTCAGCATGGCGGTGCCGTTCTCGCGCTGCCCGAACAGTGGCGCCGAGTCGCACCAAAAGTCCTTGCAGTTCGTCAGACACCCTCTGCTGTACGGGTTCTTACCCTTGCGTCTCTTGTTCTTGCCACCCGCCGCTGCACCGCGGCCCGTGGCCGTCTCAACGAAAGCATCCACGCCAAGGAGCTTGCTCATGCTCTTGAAGAACCCGCCGCCGCCATGCTTGTGGCCGTGGTGGCCGTGCCCGGGGGCTTCTGATTGCGCTGCGGCTCCAGACGGCGGCATCGCGTCAGGGTGTGTGGGGTCAAGCGGTGCGCCGGTCGAAGTAAAGGCGGATGTGAGAGAGCTGGCGGCAACATTATTGACGCCAAACATATTCTCATAGGTGGTCATTGCCCTGGCGACCTGGATGAACTGCACGAAAAGAAGCATGCCGACCCATGTGAGTTGCAGGTTGGCCCAGAAGCCGAGGAGGATGGTGTACGTGTCCATGTTGATGACTTGGCAGACCTTTGGCCCAAAGATGTTACACTGGTCGGATGCAGAAGCCATAGAGGCAGTGTAGTAGTAGTAAAGAACGCCATCCAGCATAAAAATTGCGAGCGTTAGATTGACGAGGTAGAGGAAGAAATGTCGGTGGTTATTGACGCCTACGCAGTTATAGACCCACGGGCAGTGGCTAAGACTCCTAGTTAGACAGCTGACCCTGTCGAGGATGTTTTCAGCTTTACTTACTGATCATGTCGCGCCACACAACGCTGACAGCGCCGACAGTGCTTGCTTCTCAGGGGCGTTCGGATCATGCATTGCACACAGAAGTTCGACTCATCGTATTTCCAGAGACTGATCAGTTCGTCGATGACAGCTTTCTGCTCTGCGATACCGTTCATCTTTGGCACGAAACCTGGGTCGAAGACCATGCAACAGTAGTAGAACCATGCGCAAAGCCCGATAAAACCGCCGAGACACAGGTTCATGAGGAGGTGGCGATGTTCGCCGTCTGTGCAAGTCAGCTAAATTATCAAATACCGTCTGAAAAGAGGGGCGGCTTACCAGCTCTGAATGTCGTGGCGGGCAAGACTGTGAGGAACCACCTCAAGGACACCAAGAACAAAGACGCAGAGAAGATGCCCGCCATCCACGGCGTCCGCTGGAACTGGCGCATGTCCGGCGGCGCGAAGGTCAGAACCCGTTTCGCAACCTCCTGCAACACGTACCCAACCCCTAATGCTATAGGCACCCCGGCGAAGACAGGAAAGCCGGCCATGATGCCCAGCATGCTCCATACGATCAACAAGGGCCACAGGAAGGTGAACTTGGTGACAAAGCCCCTCCTATCCTTGACCAAGTAGCTAGCGCCCGGAAAGCTCGGCGTGATCAGATGGCCATCCTCGTCGTAGCCGCACTCCTTCAGGGCTTTGTGCCAGGCCGGGAGCGTCTTGAGCTCCTCGGCGGTGATGGCGGGCGTCTTGCCGGTGTCGGTCTTCGCAAAACGGTCGGCGCCGTACTCGATGAGCTTTTGCACGCAGCCCGGGCTGCCCTTGACCAGGGCCCAGTGCAGGGCCGTGAAGCCCTGCTCGTCCTTGGCGTGCACGCTGGCACCCCATCGCAGGTATACATCGACGCAGGCTGGGAAGCCCTTGTACGCCGCCCACATCAGGCCCGTGTGTCCGTAGCTATCGAGCACGTCGACGGGGATTCCGGTATGCAGGAGGAGGGTCAGCAGCAGGACGTTGCCGTTAAACGTGCTTATGTGCAACGTGTTATACCCCTGCGCATCGGTGACCAAGGGGTCGGCGCCGTGTTGTAGGAGCAGGTGGACGGTGTAGTAGTGACATCGCTGGGCCGCCCACTGCAGCGGCGTTGCGACGGACTCTCCTCCTTTCTTGTTCATCGGGGCGCCTCTTTCGATGAGGAACTTGCACATGGCATACTGGTTGTTGATGGCGGCCCACTAGAGAGGAGCGGAGATGTCAGCATATAGAGGTGGCACTTGTGTCGCGCGTACGAGCGGCAGGTTGGCATACATGTAGCGCGGTGATACCCTCGTCGTCCGCGTATGTGGCATCAAACTCGGTTTTCTCGAAGAGCGCTTCCATGGCCGGTATATCCCCAATCCTCGCGATCTGCATTATGTCGGCGTCCACCTCGCCATTGCTCTTGTCGTTGCCATTGGGCAGGCTCCCCATCTCCAGGTCCGAGTTGACCTGGGGGTCGGCCTTTGTGCTTTTGGACGTCGGTTGTATGGGCGCGCCGGAGCTGTGGGTTTCCTTGTTGGCCATCATGACCGTCTGATGTTCGACTTGGGCTCGTGTTTGCCCGCAATAACAGCCACTCTCGCCTGTGGTGTTGAGCGCGGCTGGATGATCGGTTCAGGGCAGTTCGGTTCGGGGGCGGCGGACCGGTCAAAGGCCAAGGAGACCTCGAGAGAGACAATGCGCAATGATGTGTATGTTACAGGATGTTCATGCTAAGATGGACGATGGGTGCACCAGGCAGACAGTAATATTACAGACGCAGTCAGAGATTCATTGAAACATACAGTCATAGGAAAAGCTGACGAGAGGGTGGAGGGTAAGCAGGTCAAGATTTGAAGAGAGCGATGGAGTTGCTGTGGGATGGGATGGGCAGTGCAGACCACCCTCAATCGCTAGCCAGACTAACTTCCAGACCGACCGGCCGATCTACACAGCCAACACTTATTAATTGCTACGCTGCCGACTATGCAGGAAAGTCAAAGGGTGACGGTTTATTTTGGTGCCAAGCCGGCGTCATCCCTGCAGCCTGGCTTCCCCATCCTTTTTGGTCTTTTTGGTCTTTTTTATCGGTATCGATTATCGATTATCACCTCAACTGGACCAGCTGTCATGACAGCCTCGTGAACGTACGACCCAACATACGACCACACCAACCGGAAGCCTCGTCTTCCACGACAATCATTTTGTGGGGAACACACCTTGAGTGCTACAGCACAGGACAGGCGATCTGTATTTAATCTTGGCCGCCCTGCCTTGCCTCCTTCGGCCAGCTGTCAGCTGCAGCTCCAGCTCCAGCCTTTCAGCCTCTCAGCCTTTAGCCCCCGTCGGCGAGCACAAACACAAGCACAAGGACGAGGACAGGTCTCGCCAACTGCCACCCCACGACGGCGCAGCTGCGTCGCCCCCACCGCCCAAGATGGACGCCCTCAAGGACTTCGTCGAGCTCATCATGACGCCCTCGGCGCCCGTCTTCATCATCGGCGGGCTCATCGTGCTGCTCGTGCCCATCCTCATGCACTTCTGGGTCACCAAGTCGACGACCTACACCGTGCTCCCCTCCATCCTCCTCACGGGCCCCTCGGGCGCGGGCAAGACGTCGCTGCACACCCTGCTCGAGCGCCGCGCCTCCCCCTCCGAGACGCACACGTCCCAGACCTGGTCCACCATCGAGCTCGCCGTCAGCGAGGACGGCGGGTCCTCCTTCCGCGACGACCTCGACGCCGCCGGCGCCACCGCCAACAAGTTCCTGCTCGTCGACACCCCCGGCCACGGCAAGCTGCGCCACTACGCGCACGGGCGGCTGACGGCCGAGGGCACGCAGTCGACCAAGCTCAAGGCCGTCGTCTTCGTCGTCGACGCCGCCGCCCTCTCGGAGCCCGACGTCCTGGCCGACACCGCCTCGTACCTGTACGACGTGCTGCTGGCCCTGCAGCGCCGCATGGGCAGCACCCGCACCAGCAAGGCCCCCTACGCCATCCCCGTCCTCGTCGCCGCCAACAAGGCCGACCTGTTCACCGCCCTGCCCGCCAAGCTGGTCAGGAGCAACCTGGAGAAGGAGCTGGGCCGGATACGCCGCACCCGCAGCAAGGGCCTGCTCGACTCGGGCGCCGCCGCGGACGGATCCGGCCCTGGGCTGGACGATGCGGACGACTGGCTCGGCGAGTACGGGAGTGCCGACTTCAAGTTCGACCAGATGCGGGAGTTTGACACTGAGGTCGATGTTGTGAGCGGCAACATCATTGGGGATGGCCCTGGTATCGACGCGTGGTGGAAATGGATTGGAAGCAGGATATCTGTCTGGCAAGGAGACCGGAAGCACGCCAAGAACTAGATATTATACCGTTTGTTAGTTAATGATAATTCCTACCGCCATATCACGCCTGGTAAGACATTGCGAGTCCTGCACGGTTATGCTTGTAATTCACGACTGGTCGGTCTGTCGCGCGCTTGGCTTGTGTCAGGTTTGGAAATTGTGTCCAGAAAATTGTGGAATATGCCATATTCGCTATTCTAAGGCGTCGGTACCAACTGGTGCCCATCTGCATGGTTGAATCTAGACTGTCTGGTCTATCCTTTCCTTCCCAAGCCCCTAGATGTTGAGTCTAGGCCAGCCGACGCCGATACTGTCTGTGTCTCAAGAATGGATTTGCCGCTGTGTTAAGAAAAAAGACCAAACCCCATTATGCCTCCAAGAACGCCAGTGTCCATGCTAGTAAGTACCCATAACTATCAAAACTAAGCAGGACTTCCGTTCGCCGGAGTCTTCTTGGACTGCTTCACCATGTGCGTCAGAAGGTCGACCTTAGTGACCACAGCGACGGGTTTCTTGCCCTCCCCGTTGTCCTTGTCCTCAGTCACGACCGCGGCGCTGTTGTACTCGAGGAACTTGCTGAGGATGGTGAGGGGGGTGTCGAGAGTGATCTCAACGAAATGTCGCTTCTGCTTCTTGCTCTTGCTCGCGGCCTCCTCGGCAGTGAGGATGTCCCTAGGGTCCGTGACCACCTCATCGATCTTGCTGAAATCGAACATGACGTCCTTAACGAGGCTGGTCGCGCTGGCCCGGCCGCGGGAGATGTAAGACAGCAGGTTGCCCAGCGTCACCAGGCCGACGAGCTTGCCGCCCGTAGGGCTGAGGACGGGCAGCTGGTCGAAGCCCTTCTCCCGCATCACCTCGATGGCGTCCGCGCAGGCCTGTGTGCTCAGGACACTCGTCACAGGTTTGAGCCTGAGGGACCTGATCGTCTCGCCGCCATAGGGGTCGCTCGCCCTCCTCTTCTTCTGCGCAGCAGCCTCGACCTCGGCGCCGTTGACGGACGGCAGGAGGTCGTTGGCGGCCAGCCAATCGTCGTCCGCAAACTTGGACAAGTAGCTCCTGATACTGTCCGGGAGGACCACGACCACTGTGTCCTTCTCGTCGAGGCCGAGGTCCTGCACGGCGCGCACCATGGCTGCCATCGCAGACCCGGACGATCCACCGACCAGCAGACCCTCCTCAGCGATCAGCCGCCGTGCGTACATGAACGACTCGCGATCCTCTGTCTTGTACCACTTGTCCACAATCTCGCGATCCAGCACGTCGGGGATGAAGTCGTAGCCTATGCCCTCAACCTTGTACGAGACATTCGCGAGCTCGCCCTGGTTCAGAATCTCAGGCAGCGCAAGGATACTGCCGAAAGGATCGGCCGCGATGATCTTGACGTCCTTGTTGTGCTTCCTGATGCCCTTCGCAATGCCGCTGATGGTGCCACCGGTTCCCGCGCCAGCCACGATGGCCGTGACCTTCCCGTGGGTCTGCTCCCAGATCTCCTCGGCGGTGCCGAACTCGTGGGCACGCGGGTTGTCGACGTTGGTGTACTGGTCCAAGATATGCGCGCGAGGGATCTCCTTCTGAAGCCTCCTTGCAACGCCGATGTGCGACTCAGGGCTGTCCCAGGCGGCCTGGGTGGGTGTGCGGATGATGGTGGCGCCGAGGGCACGCAGGACCGAGACCTTCTCGGCGGACATCTTTTCTGGGAGGGTGATGATCGTCTTGTAGCCCTTGATGGCGCCGACCAGGGCGAGACCGATTCCACTATCCATCCAACATAAAGTCAGCATGTCCTTGCCCCTCATACGATATCTATTACGGCGTGCTATGTACTCACGTGTTTCCACTCGTGGGCTCGATCAGGGTGTCGCCGGGCTTTATTCTGCCGCTCTTTTCGGCCTCCTCGATCATCCGCAGAGCTATGCGGTCCTTGACACTGCCACCAGCATTGACGAGCTCAACCTTCGCGTAGACATTTGCCTTAATGCCCAGGGATTGGGGAATCTTGTTCAGGCGCACCAGTGGAGTGTGGCCGATCAGCTTGGTCGCATCTGGGACTCCGATCTCATCGCTCCCCTTACCCAGAGCCTTCAGAAGAGGCTCAGCAATGCCGGAAAGACCACCATTCGAGGTGGTTCCGTTGGTGGTTGCCATGGTGTGGAGGGGCAGTCAGGCGAGCGGAACTGGTGGGGGTTGATGATGAATGCCTGGTGTGGAAGTGAGTTGCTTGCTTGCAAAGCAGATGAGAAACGAGTGAGAAGAAAGACAAAGACGTTGGGACGCCGTGGGTCGAGCTGCTAGTCAGTATAAATAATGTGTTACATAACAGAAGCAGGCCAGTAAGCCACGAAGGTGAAATCTTAGCAAAGATGGGACGTTGGTGTCGAAAGACATGGCTTGAGTTTGCCCCGCGGCCAGGCCGAGCGACGGCTAGCAGCGGGAGGACTGTGTGGTTGAGCAAGCAGGTACTGCGTAGACTACCTACCTAGATAGTCTAGGTAGTGACCAGGGACCAGGACCATGCTGACCCAGAAGGTTTGCTTTCCACATTCATTAGCTTCAGTACATTTGAAGTAGTACTGGGCTAACACGTAGTCGGGCTCTACAAGGGTTCTCAGTTCCAAAACTCCACCACATTTAAACCCCACGGAGTTCAGTGTCCAGTCGCGCAACTTTGAACAAGTTTACTACACTCATTTTGACTGATGCTGGGAGGAGCACTCTTGTGTCCAGACACACCTACTGATCGCTTGTCCTGCTTGAGGGGCAAGCAAGCACAGAGCAGTGATGAAATTACAATCTGAGCTCCTTCATTAGCTTCAGTACATTTGAAGCAGTACTGGGCTAGCACGTAGCCGGGTCTCTACAAGGGTTCTCAGCCCCAAAACCCCACCACATTTAAACCCAGTCTCCCGTCACGAAACTTTGGAACAATTTACCTACTCTCAACATCTGAATAGGTTTTGGGAGGATAACTCTTGTGCATTATGCCTAGAGACACTTACTGATCGCTTGTCCTGCTTGAAGGGCAAGCAAGCACAGAGCAGTGATGAAAATATAATCTGAGCTCATTCATTCGTTCCATTCACTTATTTAGGTGCTTCGGCCGCAACTGGAGGGAATCATCTGCATCTCGATCTGCTCCGGATTCTACGTGGGCCACTGCATGTCTCCAAGTGGAGATGGGTTTGCTTGGCTTAGGAAGCTCAGTCACTTCCCAGCATGTGAACACTGTTGTCAGCTATGTTTATCTTCAAAATTCCCAAGATCCCCAGGCGCGATTGCTTCGCACAGCGTTGCCCAGACATGAGACTTGCACATCGAAGTTTGGCTACAGAATGTGGCTTCATACCTCCAGGCTGCAGTCCTCATGATTTCTAGGCAGTGGGCTGTACTTCAATCTCCGTTCTTGTTCTTGGTTCTGGATCATTTCCTCGGATTGGGCGTCATGGAATCACCTTGCGTTTCTACCTAAGTAGAATAGAGGATTCAATCAACATCGACATCCCATCACAGATGGACATGGAATTCGCAATGGCTCGACAGGCTTGACGTTGAGACGGCTCAGCTTGAATTGGCAGGCTACCTGGGAATTTCTAACTCGACACATGACACTTGCGAATAAACCAACTTTCCAGGTACCCAACGTTGCTATATAATGTCGGCGCATGCTCTTGTGTCACTGGCCATGGAGGCAAAGAACCAGGACGGTTAAGACTTGCAGCGTCAAGAAGAAATTTGTTCTATCAATACTGAATTGGTTTTGGGAGGATGACTCTCATTGGGGGCTAGTGCAGCATATGACGATGCAGACCGGCCATATCCCTAGAGCATCCAGATCCACAGTCAATGACTTGGGGGGGGGGGATTACCATGAAGAGAAGAGAAGAGAGAAGAGGCGAGAGACTTGGGCCAAGGCGCCTTTAAGTATTTGGGACTGGACACCAGGGCTGCGCGGTTGCCCGATTATGACAATCTTCCAACGAGGCAGGAGCGGGCCTCCCTTCAACGCCTGCACCGCAGGAACAGGAAGCTGCGCCAGACGCCAGGAAAGAACGCCAGACATGGGGCCCGGATTGGCAAGCGTGCACCAAGAAAGGACTCGTCACGGTACTGTACTGTAGGATGGCATACATCTTGAGGACAGACAATTACATAGTCCAAATGGTGGCCAGAGAGCAGGTTTAGAATCCTGGACAACAATCACGAGGTATATTGCCTTGACAATTTTTCAATGTATCACCTGCAAGGTAGACGTGGTCATCTAAGATTTGATGGAGAGATTCGACAACGTCTACGAGCTACCTCTTGCCTGCTGCTTTGCTTCCTAGGCGTAGCTGCATCTAAGCTGTGCTGCCAAGTGTAAAGAGCCAGCCGGTTGCCGATTCCTACGGTGGCCAGCCATACACACCCAACTCAGATAAAGAAACATGACTCTTTCCGTGATACTAGCGCTCCATCGTAACGCCTGATATGGATGGCTAACGCGAATCTGAGTCTTCATCAGTCTGAGATCCTGACGCATCGAGCAGATCATCCAACGAGGCCACCTCAGCCTCTTGATCGCCACCAACTGCACCGACGGCGCCGGTCGTGTAGCTGTTCGTCTTGTTAGGCAGTCCACCGTTGCCATCATTGCCATCCAGGTCCAGAGGATACTTCAAAGCTAGTCCTGAAAGCGTCTCGCCCTGTCTTGTCCTGGGGATGCTATCCGTGTAGCCAGACCAGGTACCCGAATTAGTCCCTTGGAAACCGATGCGCTGGAGTTGAAGAGTCTCCGACGCAGACCACTCGAGGTATGTGTACTCTCTGTACTTGCGACGGCGATAGAGGCATTCAAAGATGGGTTCCAAGACATAAGATATGACGATGATCAGGACGCCGGCAATGGAAGTGAAGTAAAGTCCGAAGAGGCTGAACGAGATGTAGTTGGTACTGCGGATCTTCTATAAAGGTGTGAACATTCCATGTCAGCTTGTTCTCACGAACCTTGCAGGGCGGCATGTCTCACCTGGTTATTGCACATGTCTCGCGCGTGTGAATTGATTGGCAGCATCTTGTAAGGATCGAGTCCTGGGTCCGTCGGCCCATGAGCCGTATTCACAACTGCAGCCTGCAAAGATGCCAAGTACGTGGCCCACCAGAAGCTGACATCAAGTTGCCACTGATTGACTGGGAGTGGTCCCATGAGCCCGTCGTTGAGATATTTGAGAGACGTCAGAGCGTTCGGGCCGAGATACATAATAACATTTTGCACATTGGCTTGGGCAGATGACAGGACGTGGATCAGCCACTGGTAGCGAGAACCGATCGCGCTACTCGGAGTGGGAGCGGTCTCGTTCTGATAATCCGCTATCGTTATTCCGAACAGAGGGGCTGATTCAACTTGCGCGTCGACCCAGCTCGCAAGGGGCCCGCAACTGTTGTTCGACAGTGAGGGATTGCAGAACTGGTACTGCTGAACACATCCCATAGGTGAAGCTGCCTCTTCTGGTTGGTACACCCTGAGTTCCCCATCTGCGGACTGCATGATGATACTGTCTCCTGGTACAGTTGCACGGTACCAAGGATCACTTGTTACGTCGTAGAATTCTATCCCGTTTGCGGTGAGAAAGACCAGGACAGTATCTCCGTCGGGATTGAACAGGGCGGGAATTGGGGCAAAATCTTCATATTCCACCCAACTCGAATGATTGTAAACTGTATTGGTCATTTCGCTGATTGAGTTGGAAGCTGTCAGAACAGGGTGAAATAGACTTGGCAGAACGGAGAACAAAAAGGAGCCTCACTTCAAAACGAAAGTACTACCTGTGCCGCGGAACATGTTTCCAGCCTGCTTATTGTACTGTGAGTCTAGACTTTCTACCATGTAAGTGTAATTCGCTCGGTTAGGCGGGCCATAGTTGTAAGCAGTGAAATTGTCCCGCGGTCCTTCCACAGGCTTCGTATAACCCCGGGTTTCCAGTGGTGCACACTGCAAGACTGCCCTGAAAAGGATGTTATTGTCCGGCGGTGCATTCACGCCGAAGTCGTTGCTGAGATCAATGTACCCAGTGTCTAGGCGTATGTTCGAGGTGTTGGTTCGACAAATACTGTTGCTGCGAAAAGGACAGGCCGCTTGGGTGTCTACTGTACAGGGAAGGTGGTTTTTGGCAAAGTATGCGCAATCGAACATGCCGGGCGAATCTGCAGAATAACATTGTTGTGCGTAATTTGCAGCCGAATGAGCTACCTGCGAGAGGTAGGGTTGGATGATTTGGGCGGAGTTGGGATCCGTGGAGTATGGCGAGACGACAGCGCAGTTGGTGCCGTTGAGCAGTACTTCATTGCCAATACCGGACGAAATGGACGAAGAAAAACCACCCGCAACTGTAAAAGCACAGAGACAGAGGACAGACGTCAACAGCGTGGGCAGGACCCGAATGAAGCATCTCTTTGCAAGGTTCTGCCACGTCCAAAGGAGTTGTGAAAGGGTCCACACGGCGGATACAGCAGCTGTAAATGAGGCAGGTTAGCCACGGATACTAACGGGCAAGATGAATAGGCCGCTGAGGGGTCCTAGACTCCTACAAAACTAATTGTCTTCGAATTCGCGGAACTTCTGAAGACGAAAAGGGACATACAGGCTGAATTTCGCAGAATTGCTTGCCGCTGGTGATAAAGTGCGTCACGCGGTTCAGGGGACGAGTAGCATCTATAGAAGAGTCTGTCGTGTTATGTGTTAGCCCCTCAGTCCACCTCTCTGGAACTACTTTACAGTGAGTCGAGATAGAGTAATGGTCTGAGCTCTGTGAAGATGCCTCTCGAAAGGTAGAGAACTAACATGCAGGCGATCCGCCAAAAGCGCTCAGTCACTATTCCAACAAAGACGGCAGTGAAGGCAATAAGAAGGTTTCCGTCCACTCGGTCAAGGGTGAGGGTCGCTCCCATCACACGCCCCCGGGACCAGTTGATCCAGGTACCCAGGTGAACGTTGTACTTCACCGTTGAAGTCGCATCTGTCCATGCTGATTGATTTGTCATTGTGCAAAGGAACGGCAAAGAAAGCCTGCTCGATCCGTATTCTTTTCAACGTAATATGGAACATAAACAAGCATAATGAAAGGAGAGTATTATGAGTTCAGAGAGGGATTCCAGGTATTATTGTAAGTTCTGGAGGTCAGGGTAGAGGATGTTCACAGTTCTGACAGCCTTGTGCACAAGTCAAGATATGCTCGGGGGCGGTTCGCCCCCAAATCGAAAGGTAGTACGGTTGATTCAGCCTCACTCAAATTTTGCAGCTCTATATGGTCACATTGCAGGAACTAATCTCACTCGAAATTGACGGGCAGATATGGTTGCTTTCTTGAGCCTATTAACGTGGATGTCTCGAGGACGTACGGGATTACTATGGTGGCCTCGCCCCCAACTGACCTGCAGATTTACCAACTAAGGTTGCTTCAATGAGGCGCGATAAGGACGAGAAGTAATAGATGTTCAGATACGCTGCCAATCAGCATAAAATCGCCACCAGAAGAGCTCTTTGTCCTACTCGATGCCGGTAACGGGCCATCTCAAGTGCTGTGCCGCCATCAACTCAACAGGTGATGAGCGACCAGTGAGAATGGCCAGTCGAGGAACGGCTAGGGACACTTGCGAAAATTTTCTCACCTATTGAGACCTCGCAGCGGCCTTCACATGAAAATTTCCAGCCGGTGAGTAGGTGGGGGCCGTTGAGTTGATTGGCAGATTTTATTGCCTAGGTAGGCTGCTGGATCACCAGGCTCTAAGGCACCTCTTTCATTGCTAACTTTTTTTTATCTTCAATATTCTAGTCATGCTGAACTTGAACAGCTTGGCCGCTAAGATCGTTGTGGAAGGATCTTTGGACAGGTGGAACATAGTAAGTCGAGCACTCTTTAATGTGAAATACAGCAATTCTCTCAGCTCAGAACGATGCAATGACCTGTGCGATGCTTAAAATCACCTGAACAACGGTCAAAAACAAGATGACTGTCCCAAATCTGCAGTCGTAAGGTAATTGATTAGCAGAACATCGAGAAGGGTCATGTTGAAAGGAAGAGACAAGGAACCTGAAAAGCAAAGGCAAATCTTACAGGAACGTCCAGTATTGAACAGTATCCCTCCTGTCCCGGAAAAGTACCCAGAAATTCCAAGGTCGTGCTTGTTGTAGGTGCGAGTCGAGGGCAAGAATGCGAGGCCAAAGATTGCTAAAGTCGGTCTGATTCCATTGGGAAGCCTCTCTTTCCATAAGAATTCGAATTTGATCATCATATGTCATCCTGTAGCTGGTTTCGAGCGAGCTTCCCCGTCGTCTACTCTTGATGCCCTTGAGCGACTCCAGAGTGTGCTTCCTGAAGCGTTGTGCTGTACAGTACAAGCACCAACACCAGTGGTGTAAGCCGACTATCCAGGCCAGAGTTTTGTGCAGTTTTGATTCTGATAACGGGTTGAAGAGCGTAGCGTAGGAGCATTCGATTTCATCTATTAAATCCGTGGAAATGCCTATGCTGGATAGAACATAATCTGCACCTCCCTGTAGTGCACAGGGAAGAGCGAATATCTCGAGATAATAAGATTCAGCTCGTTTAGATAGTAGCATATGACGTGATATATTTTGTGTCCATGCTATCTCGACGTGGCTGTAGGTTGAGAGGTTGGTGGCGTTGAGTCTCGTGGCATCGATGGAAAGAGATTCCAGGAGATTCGCATAGGAGTGTAGTGGAAATGCCTCTGATATATCAGCATCGTCAATGACTTGAAATGACGAGGCATTATCATCGGGAACGCTCTTCCCTTCTTCAGCGCTGGGGAGTAGTCCACTTTCTTGAATTAGTGTGCCAATAGACTGGCCAAACGCGTTCGTCTCGGAGTACTCCTGATTTTTGTTCCAACAATAGGCATATACGATACGCCGCTGATCTTGTTGAGTTGGGATAAAATACGACTGCAAGAGCAGCCAAGTGCCTAAGATTAGAAGAACGGTTTCAGTGACCCTTGACTGTCTTGCGGCCGAGTTTGCAATGGTGTCTTTGAAATAGTAGTGATCTTGGTGCGTTATTAGGCCGCTTAAATACTCTCGGATGCTCGAGTCTACTGAAGCACCTTGCCCGGCTGAAGCTACTGAGTATAATCGTGTCAGTAGAGCTTCTTTAGTATGACCTGAATTGACTTCACGACACGATACTTTGAAACCAGGTTGTCAATAAGATCAAATCATGGCCGCAGCTGCTGATGAAAGAGGTCAAATATGCTCGTACCTCGAAAATGGCGCACCACTTCTATGAAGAAGCGCAAAAAGTCTTGCTGCTCTCCTCGACCTGTCCACGATGACTTAATGTACTCGATATAAGGCTTGCATATCTGCTCTTGGCTTGGATCACCCGTATGGAATCCTAAAGCCTCCCGCAGAGCCGACAGTGTATCATTCATTTCGTGTCCGACAGCGCTGCACTTCCCAGTGAGGAAACAATCTCGAGCCTTTATGATTCTCTGACAAATCGCAAACTGGAAGTACTATGAATTCAGCTTTTAGGGAGCTAAAACTAGAAATATCCTACATGCAAAGCCAGTGGCGTTCCACTTTTTGTAGTGCAACCATTCTAGTCTGCGGCTGACCTGCATGCATTAGGCAGCAGAAGCGCTATGCAGGACCGTAATACCCAAAGATATAGTCCCCACCATGAGAATCTTTGATCCGCCTACTTCTCATTCAAGAAATGACCACAATCTGATTAGCCGACCTTGCGAGCGTGAGCGTTATCAGAGGTTCCTATATATGATACTTGTTCTGTGTTCTGCCGTTGCCTTGACTGAGCCAGGCCTACTGTGCGTCTCGCGTGTCTTTACCCGGGTACACTATGTCGCAACTCGCCGAGGACGAGACATCGGATCGAAAAACATCTAATCGCCAAGATGATTCTATTCAAATGATAGAAGCCAGGAGAGAGGGTACAGACGCCGAGATGAAGGTGCCTTTGCCCCAGACCGACTCTCATAACGGCGGCTTCGCGGACGAGGGTAGCAGCATTGATGCAATCTGTTGGGGCTGGCTTTACCCTCAAGATCGATCGAGGTGGTCCGATATCCCTTTGGAAGACCGGACTGGAAGCGCATCTGCTTTCAAGCATCAGGGGTATATTCTCGGTCGCGATTCCGAATGCGGTAAGTCCAACAGGATTCTGCTCCAGAACAAGACAACGAGACAGTCCTGATCGATGATTGCCAAAGACTTGGTCGTTGATGACCCTCACGTCTCCAATCGCCACTGCTTGATATACAGGGTAGTGCGAGACGGCGAAGTCTGCGCATTCTTGCGAGACTTATCCTCCAATGGAACATTTGTCAACGAGGCTGTGGTTGGATGCAACCAAGTCGTAGAGCTCAAGAATGGAGACGAGATTACAATCACTGAAAGTGCTCGGTTCATGTTCCGTTCGTCTGATCCCATCCACCGCACGTTCATTCAACAATATACCCTCCTGGAATCACTGGGCAAGGGACACATTGGAAAGGTCTTTGAGTGTCAAGAGAAATCAACAGGAGAGCGGTTTGCTGTGAAGAAATACAGCTTGTCAGGAGTTCCGAAGTCTGAACGATACAAGAACGAGAGCATAGCTGCAGAGCGGAATTTGATGGGTCTCTGCCACAGAAACATCATATTCATGAAAGAGGCATTTGAAGATGACATCTCGAGCTCCCACGTCATACAGCTTGCAAATAAGGGTGAATTGTTCAATCATATCGTGAAAAAGTCGAAGCTTTCCGAGGACGAGACTCGACATATATTCAGACAGCTTTTCAGTGCTGTCAAGTACATGGTAAGTGGATCCGAGCCCCTAAGTGACTGTCTCTAACTCCGGGCCGCTTTTGACAGCACGATCGCAACATTGTACACCGTGACTTGAAGCCAGAGAATATATTGGTCGTTGATGAAGACAATAGCATCGTGCTATGTTCATTTGATCTGTCTATCACCATCACAGCGGAAAGCTTCGATACTACTCTTTGTGGAACTCCCAGCTATGTTGCTCCTGAGATTTTGGAACAGAGCCAACACCGCAAGTACGGCAGAGAGGTAGACATCTGGTCTCTCGGCGTCGTTCTCTACATATGTCTCTGCGGGTTCCCCCCTTTCTCGGATGAGCTATATTCGAAAGAGTCCCCCTATACACTGAGCCAACAAATCAAATTAGGAAGATTCGATTATCCGTCACCTTACTGGGATAGTGTCGGTGACCCTGCCTGTAAGAAAAACGCTACCACCACTGGCAGTCTCTTTGCATACGCATGCTGACTTGCACGAAGTGCATTTGATCGATAACATGCTTGTCGTGGACCCGGAGAGGAGAATCACCATCGAGCAGTGTCTCGCTCATCCCTGGCTCACGCAAATGACCTCTGTGGAAGAGGCGGCTCCCAAGACACCTCAAGTTTTGCGTCGTAAAAGAACATTGCTTCGAGTCAATCATTGGGGTCCTTCATCGCCAACGGTCGTTTCGTTGCAAGAGTCACAGGGGCCCAAACCAGGACCCTCATCGCCAGGCCCAGTAATGATCACACCCAGGACCAAGGGCAAGGACCAAATCTCGTAGGTTTATGCTCAAATTCGTCAGACATCCCACAGCCCACAATCGACTGATATGTATAGAAGCTCTTTCGTCGAAGACTCTGAGAAGCAAAAGGAAGGCCAGCCCACGCATAGGAGTACATATGACGAACCTCGACGTCGAAATCCAGAGACGACAGAGGATATTGGAAACGACCTGAAAAATTTGATTTTGGATAAGAAAGTCTCGAAGACATCGTCATCCAAGGCCATACTCTCTGAGGCGCTGCAAAAGGCTAACACTGCCGTCCAACTTGACAATGTGAAGAAATTCCAGGCTGCGCAAGCAGCCTATCGGCAAGCAAGCGATTTGCTACATCAGGTCTTGCTTCGTACAGCGGGAGCCGATGATAGGAAAAGGTTGGAGGCTATTGTAAGTACATCGATGATTAACGATTATTTTATTGCGGGTTACTGATATGATTTCGCAATATTAGCGCAATACATATACCAGTCGTATCGAAGAACTTAATCAAATACCTCCCGAAGAGGAGAGAGATAGCAAGATGCACCCTCAATCGCCGACAAGCAAGAGCATACGCTCGACTTATCGGGTCACCGAGCACACAAAGAGTCGGGTGCCACTGACAGAAGTTGAAAGGACACTTCAAAATAGCCCAGGCCCGTCAATTATTTGGTCAGATGTAAGCGAACGCGCTGAGTCTGAGATCGAGGCAACTGTGAACACACTAGATCGTACTGATCACACCATATCTCTGAAATACGATCAGTTCGTCGAGTTAGTCAATAGTGCCACAAGCAATACCCCACACCCCTGGACATCTTCTATTCAACTCCCTGAGGATTTGCGGAATGACCTAGAGTTCAACGACAAGGGCCAGGATTTCAGTTCTTGGACATGTACGCCGTCCGCCCACATTGCTTCAGATGAGATTCCCCTTCGTATAGACGGCCATTCTGTGGTGTTACCTGTCGAGTACAAGTATCCTCTGACGGGAATGTTCTCTCCGCCTCCCGACCCGCACCCTCTCTTCATTTCGCCATTTTCTCAGTTGTCGGACGAGGATATCCACCATGTATTTTCCACATTTCCAGCTTGTGTTGGATTTTACCTCCTTGTCAATGGGTTTCTCCAGGTCCTGATGCCGGACGATTTCGACTATGAGGAGGGCGTCCCGAGCTTCCCAAGTGAGTTCGGCGGGTTGAAGGTGTCTCTAATTCCCGAGTCGGCGTGTCCGACAGCTGGAGAGGCTTCAGCTTCTACTCCGACCACCACAACAACATCGACGAGGACACGCTTCGAGCGCATGTTTGGTCAGAGCTCCGCACAGAGCACCTCCGCGCAAACAACTGGCTCTTCAAGTGATTTATCCACCAATACAGCAGGTATCACGGTGGGCTGTGCTGTTCGGGCCATTGTGCCCGGAAGTAAATCGAAACAGAGATTTGAAGGGAAGACTGGCGTCGCGATCTCTCCCAGGGACGACAACTTGAAGAAATATATCACCATCCCCACCCATCTCATGACAGATGCAATAATAGCCTCCAAAACAAGGAGTTTGAATTCAGACACTTGGAAGAAGGACGTTAAAATATGCATTGCCAGCAACTCAGCCGAGGTAAGTTGTTTAATTCTTTAAAGAATTGGAAAAGGTCATACATGCTTAAAGGCGTGTCGGTGGACCTGCTACATTATTTCAAACGGCTAATCTAATTATTTAGCTGGGAGAGGTGACTGACATATATGACCATGACCCGAAATCCTTTCCGGTCGGATTTTCGCATGATGTGAGCCTCGTTGATATCAGTGGCGTTCCTGACAGCCCGCGAACGACTCCGTACGCTACCGACCTGAGGTGGCTCAATCAGCAGGAATGGATGGACATCAAGTACAATTCGAGTGGTCTTGTGCTGTTGGACGACCGATCCCGAGAAGCGAAAAGTATTGGGGTTGTTGATAGTCGTTGCCAGGTGAGTGATTCTGTCCTACTTGCTTCTGCCTTGGTCGGGTCGGTACCAATATGCTCGTGCCATTTCAGTCCTTTGAGCAATTCCCTGCTCTTCACTCAGTCGCTTGACCATGTTTACAGGGTCTCAAGCTAACAGATGGGGCATCTCAGATGGTAGGACAGGGCATTTTTCGAATCCAGCAGCAGTCCCGGAAGCGTTCTTCATTCCTGGGCTCGCTCTCCTCCAGCTCCAGCTCGTCTCGTACACCGGATCCACATGATGATCCCAGCACTTGGACAAGCCTCGTAGCGAGGTCGATACTGTATCGCGTCCATCCCGACTACCCGACGAGAGGCGGCCAGAGTGGAGTTCCGGTATGCGTCGTGAGTGAAGATCCCGGCGATACTGGTTCTCACAGTGTCAAAGTGGCGGGATTCGCCTCTTTTGTGCAGATGGTATCAGACGTTCAGAAATACGATCTCGAGGGCGATAAGCTGTATAAGCGGCTGCAGGAAGGAAGAGTGGCGTTCTACGGAGCATTCCAGGTTCCTCGAGAGTTGCGAGACGGGTATCAAATACTCTAGATTTGCACTTACTTTAACAGTAATAATTATTTATGTGACAAGTGCAAGTCACAAAGCCCGATGTTGTGAAAATCGTCTCACATGCCGCAGAAACCCCACAAAGAAAGGCCATAATCTATGCTGTTCTGCCAGTGACCAGCATATATAGTCCGACACACAAGGGAGCTCTACTGGACATCATCAATGGCGGAGTGTCAATGGAATCCTAGGTGCCTTGATAGGTGGAGGATGGGGGAGAGAATGGACGAGGCAAGAACTGTGTTCATCACAGGAGCAGTGTATGAGAGGGCCAGCTGAGTCGCCGATAGAAGCGACCTCAGTAGGATGTGACTCGAGCGAAAGTAGAGGCAAATGACTTTCAACGTCTTCAAGTGCTCTGCTTTTCCGGATCATTGTAAGGTGAAAGTGCGAAACATGAATGATCGCGACCGCTTGAATTTCTCTTTCAAATGTTCGTGCGAATAGGCAGGTGGGCCTCACGGCTCTCAATAAGTCAATCGGTATGGTCCGTTTCCGCTCATCATTGTCTCTCACATCGCTGTTTTAAGACCTTCGCCTAGGGAGTCTTCGTCGAAGTGAGGCCGACTGCGCAGTACTCCTGGAAGATTTCCGAGGCTGGCAACCAGGCAGTCACCTCAATGATTCATAGTCCAAGATACCCAACGTCGAGTTCACCAGACGAGTGCAGAAACGGAGCTCCATGTGATCGTGAGACCGGACATGTGACGTTCAAATGCTTTCATTTGTTTTTGATGCTAATCCGCATCCACCAGACAGCCATCTGGACCCATCGAATCGACGCCGTTGACTGCCATCACTAGACGAATCCCTTCATTCATCATCTACCATATGTGTATGGTATTGAGGTGTGTGCCCAGTATCGTGGTTTTTTCCGCAGACCATAAAGCAAGACCGTTCCCATGCAATCACCAAGAAACCGACACCATTTACACCTCAGTCGTGACCTTCGCCTTGGGGTTGGTGACCTTGACGCTCAGTTGCTTCGCGCGGGCAATGATCTCGACTCGCTTTCGGGAAGAAACGTTGTGGGCGATCCTACGACACAAGTCAGTCTTGCCTTACTCATCTCCTCCTCTCTCCGAATCTAGCTCGGATTGGGGACATCGGGCGTACTCAGCGGCGTAGGTCTTGTTGTGCATCAGGAGCAGCTCGACATCCTTGACGTTGTTGACGATGAAAGCCTTGTGGCCGGAGGGCATCATGTGACGGGTCTTCTTGTTGGAGCCATAGCCGATCTGTTGTCGTAGAAAGAATCAGAAAATCAGCCCTTGATTCCTGCCCATCTCCCAATGGATCCATGCTCTGTTCGCCAATTTCCACGCAAATAGTCTGATTGTCGGGAACGTACCGAGGGCATGGCAGTGTTGCCCCTGAACCGTCTGCGGACACGGTTGTCGATACCCTTAGGCTTGCGCCATGATCGGTCGACACACTTGAAGCGGTCGCTCTGGTGGCGGTTGAAGAGCTTCGTGCCTGTAAACAAGAAATTCCGTCAATATTTTGGCCCCACTATCCCGGCGTGCGAAGATCATATGGTGGTGGTGCGATTGAAAATAGCAAGGCATTGTATGGACGTCGATGCAAAATCACTTGTCGTTGTCGCATTCGCTCAAAGGATCGTGACCATGGGGAGGGGGTCTCTGCGGAATCGGTGGGACGTACGCTTCTTCACGATAGGGACGTGCTTCTTTGCGGCAACCATCTTGATTGATGTCAGTATCACAGAGACAAATTGACGTTGACAAAAGGAGCATACCTTGACAGAGTTTGGCGTGAGTTCTCTGACGGTTGCTGGGTGGGTGGATGGGTGGGTTGGGTGGAAAGGGTCGTCGTCGAGTAGCTGCAGCGCAGAAGACTTCTGAGCGCGCCAAACAGAACGGGAATTTTTTCACCTCAGGGCTTCTTCCTGTGGCGCTTGGGACACCGCCACGCCTGGAGCCACATTTCGAGGTCACATGGAGATAAGATAAGCAGCCCCCGAAGCAAAGAGAAGAGTGAAACTTGACCAGCATATCCTTCCACGGGGCTAATCTCTAATGGGGAAGACTCAACTTTTAGTGGAATACCCTACTGTGGGAGAATCTTCAGTGGGATAACCTCTACGGGATGGCCTCTGCTAGGATAACCTCCTGGGGATTACCTCCTATGGAATACCCTCATACAGGATAATCTGATTGGGTTTCATAGATTTTCTTCGTATCCTTGAAGATGCTTGGATTTATTTTATAGATGTACAAGCACTGTTCCCTTTCCACATCTGTTAAGTACTCAGCGAAAATCTGAGATCCCAGCGGCCGCACCAGTTTCATGGAGTTGTGCATCGATAGATCAAATTCTCGTCCGTAAAGCTGGAGACTCATTGGAACAATTGATGCGCTCTTACGAGGCGGCCGACTGGTTGAGGAGTGCAGTCATAAATGCTGGGGCCACCAGCTGTTCTTCATTTGGTCTATCGGGTCGGATGCTCTCTCGCTCTACCTGCCGTGGTTTTGCATCCAACAATCTGTACAGAATAAGTAACCCTTCACTTTCGCAGTGCCCGTTCCCAGTGCCTGGTGACTGCAGACCAGAATGCACCGGACCCGCCCGGCCGTGCTCATAGATTTGAAAACTCCACGCTTCCCTGAGAATATTTACTGAGTGGCGCATTGTGTAGTTCCCTCTTCATCCTCCATATCCTCCCAGTCGCCACCGAAACGTGGGTCTCCAGAGTGGGCGCCCATCTGTTGTTGTAGAATATAAAGTCAGTTACACAATCATTGCTTCGGTTGGGTCTTTCACGGGGGCACTTCTCACCTCCTCGATGTCCACGTCCTCTTCATAGTCCACCTCATCAACCTCCTCGGTGACGATGGGGGCCGCAGGAGGAGGCAGCAGCTTCTGCAGAGCCTCGTACGACTTCTCGTCGCTCAGCCACCCGTTCTCAGGGAACTCGATCTTGGCGATCAGGAAAAGGTCACCCTTCGTTTCGCCCCTCTCAACCGGCATACCCTCCCCGGCCACCTTGATGACCTCGTTCGGCCGCAAGATCTTGCCGCGGGGAAAGTCGATGTGGATTCCGCGCCCGTCCAGATGCTTCAGAACTACTCTTGAGAATCCAGAAAGAGACTCAGCAAGGGTGACGTTGAGGTCGGCAGACAAGTCCTGGCCAATCCTCGTGAAAACGTCGTGCGGCTCCTCGACGAGCGTGAATATGATATCCCCGGGCGTCTGGTCGGGGGCCTGGTCGGCCTCACCCTCCAGCTTGATCTGCTTGCCTTGCATGGAGCCTCGAGGAATGTAGATCTCCAGAGGCTTGATCTCGTCAACAATGCGCTTGCCCTTGCACTTCTTGCAGCGGTCCTTCTCCTTGTAGTAGTTCCCTGAGCCCTGGCAGTGATCACACTGCACCTGAGCCCTGCGGACCATTCCTGGTCCAATCTGTTGGAAGGCCTCCTGGAAGCCGTTGCCTTTGCAGCGGTCGCATGTCTGTGGCTTGACCTTGTCCTTGCCGCCCGAGCCCTTGCACTGGCTGCAGTGGACCTTCTTGTTCGCCGAGAACTTGACGGTCTTGCCCTTGTAAAGCTCCTCCAGCGTCACCTTGTACTGCTGCTCTTCGTCGCGGCCGCGCCTCGGGCGTCTTGGTCCGCCTGCTCCGCCGCCAACGCCCATGCCGAACATTTGCGCCAAGATGTCATTCAGATCGACTTCGGCACCGCCGGGACCGCCGCCTCGGGAGGGGTCGAAGGCGGCCATGCCGTACTGGTCATACATCTCGCGCTTCTCATCGTCACGGAGGATTTCGTAGGCTTGGGTGGCTTGCTTGAACTTAGCCTCGGCTTCCTCGCGGCGGTCCTCTGGAACTTTGTCAGGATGGTGTTGCAGGGCAGCCTGTAGTCAGAGAAGGTCAGCATGTGCAGTTGATGCGATGGTCCTTGTGGAAATGAGAACGCGCACCTTCCTGTAGGCCTTCTTGATCTGGTCTGGGGTTGCTGTCCTCTCCACTCCGAGCAGCTCTGCAGTCTGGTTAGTCTGGGCTCCGATGCTGAGGTTCCAAACCAAGTGGTATATCTTGTATTATTTGGCGCCGAACAGTACTGCTCACCGTAAAGATCAACATCTTCTTGGCCCCCGGGACCATTACTGGCGCCGCCACTATCCATATTTGGTCTGTTTCACGATGTTCGCTGACTTTCGAGAGCAGAGGAAAACTCGGCGACAAATAACGGAGTTTTGGCGGGGCAAGCCTTCTTATGGCGAAAGAGGTGACTCCAAAATTGAAAGCCGGCTGGCTGCTGAGGCAACAAAAGGGCAATGGGTCAAGCGCTCAAGAAGTGAATGGGAAAGGGGTGGTATCCTAGACAAAGTTGCCTCGACGCGAAGTAAATTCCGATGATGCAGAGGATGGAAAATCCATAATCTTTCAGCTGGCTGCAGATGAAAGAGCATCCCATGCCCGGGCACAGGCTTACCCCACGCTCCAACTTCTCTCCAACTCAACCAGTGCAGATTTTCACATTTCACATATCCACGTTGACACTCGCCTGCCTAAGGCAGATCGGGGTACGTACTCGTCCGACTGTCTGTTAATCAATGTACGGTGTCTGGTTTGCCAGGTAACGCAAGTTCGCGTTTCAGAGGTTGCCGGTCATGATCAGGTACCCTTGCAGGTCACTACCTAGGTCCTATCACATGCCACTTGCCAAGCTATTCAGGCTAGGTAACCTGAGATGTCATTGTCCGCGCTCAATTGGACATGTATGCTCCCCAACTGGTAGGGCTGACTAAATGCAAGAAAGTCAATGTGGCGGAGATGTCATTTCTTCGCTTTTCACACATACATTTGATGCAACGGCTCTCGAGATCGCTTTCCCATGTTGAACCTGGTCACTAGGAGCGTCAGGAGTCTTGCTGTGTATCCCCAGTTCGCCTCGACAGTGATGTTTTACGAAGTAATTGCACCGGAATCATCTCACTGCTGAAGATCGTGCCACTGGAGGTGAAATCAAAGGTAGTGCCTTCAGTCGAGTTTGTCGACTCACGCGCCAACGACCGTCATCAATGTGTGAAGCACAAGAGGCTCAGCACCCCCTCGCCTCCCGCAACGCCAGCTGTACTCGTATAGGCTGCCCAATTTGCGACTGGGCACTGATGACCCTGTTCATGTTGATCCCACTGTCTAGCAGCCAGTAGAACGCGCATCAGACCAAGCAGAACTGGTGCCAAACCACTGACGCTCAGCTCGTCACCAAGATGGCGGGCCAGAAACGAGCAAGTTTGTAGCGTTGGGTGACGCGACCGTATGCTAAAAGGGTACTCCTTCTTCGCATCCCAGGCAAGCCATGAGAGTGCAATGAAATGAGGTTCGCGTCACTCGGAGGCAGTGTGATACCGAGGACACAGTGGAGGTCGGCCGTGAGCAAGCTCAGAGGACCATCCCCCAGGGTAAAAAAATTAGAATAATCACGATTGTACTCCGTAGAGCACTTTCAGAGATTAAACTGAAAAGAACAGATACTACACTTGATCTAAGCCCTGATCGGCGGAAGAAATACGGTTAGCAGAGAACAGTAACGAGAAAGGAGTCTGATGATGATGATCATGTTAGGGGCCAACGTACAAAAGGCAAAGAGAGCTGGAGAGGAAAGAGAGGAAACAGGGAAAAGGGCAATGGTAGCAAGGGTTTAAGTATTCCACGGCACCGGATTCTGCCGCCGTGCGGCCGGCTTTTGACCGCTTTCCTATTCTGGGCGGCGTCGCCGGCGCGTGGCCGGCAGGAGCCGTGGACTAGCGTGCTTAGCTTGCCCGGGCGGTACCGTAGACGAAGAACACCTGCTGAAATCCCAATTTGCAACATCATTGATCATTTAGCTATAGCATGAGAGAGGTCACTGTGTGCGATTCTGTTTCTTTACCAGTTTGAATTTCCCTTTCGGATCACATCTGAGTTTGTCTTGCGGCGATCATTACAGTCATGTGTCCAAACGCTTTGGTGAACCCTCATGCTTCATAGAACCCGAAGATTTTCTCACATCGCCTCACTTGAGACTCGGACGACACACCCTTCATGCCCCGACCTCATGCGAAATGAGCAACCTACTGCTCCTGAGGAGGCGGCTACACGCAGGATGCCTTTCCTCACGGTTTAATCAAGTACGGCACTATGCGCTGATTGGAAAGCCGAGTCAAAATCAAAAACCAATATGGAGCCTGCCCGAGTCTCCAGCACGAACCCGGTTCGCGCCGTCACCAACAGGCTACCTTCATCTCGGGTCTCTACGAACGGCACTTTTCAATTATTTGCTAGCGCAAGCCACCGGTGGCCAGTTTATTATTCGCCTTGAGGACACCGACCAGACACGATTCGTCCATGATGCGGAGTCACGTCTGTATCAAGATATGCAGTGGGCTGGCCTGACCTGGGCTGAAGGTCCCGACAAGGGAGGGCCTTTTGGCCCGTACAAGCAATCTGAACGACTTGAACTGTACAGGAACCATGTGGACGTGCTCTTGGAAAAAGACCGTGCTTTCCGTTGTTTCTGCACAAAGGAGGACCTCGAGTTCAACCTACAGCAAGCCACCTCCAGCGGCGCCACGGCTCATTACCCCGGCACATGCATGGGCATATCGAAGTCTGAGTCTGACAGGCGAGCTGCAAACGGCGAGCCGCACGTCGTACGGTTCAAGACATCCGACGTCCCGGTATCTGCGCCAGACCTGGTCTACGGCGCTTACAAGAAGGCCGAGCGCGAGGACAACTTCATCATCATGAAGAGCGATGGCTTCCCCACCTACCACTTCGCGAACGTAGTGGACGACCATTTCATGGAGATAACTCACGTCATACGTGGTGCCGAGTGGCTCATATCAACCCCCAAGCACGTCGAGCTATACAACGCATTCGGTTGGCAACCCCCTAATTTTGCACACGTAGGCCTGCTTGTGGACCATCAACGGCAAAAGCTAAGCAAGAGGGACATTGATAATATCGGGATATCGGTCTTCCGTGACAACAACATCATGCCTGAGACCCTGCTCAATTTCTCGGTCTTGCTTGGCTGGGATCCTAGCCTGCAAAATCGGCCACATCTGGACAAGAGGGGAAGAATGACACTGGAGGAGATGAAGCAAAATGTAAGTCAGATCATCCCTGGCAACGCTATAGGTCTGCCGCTGACAAAGGACAGTTTACCTTGAAGTTCACACGAGGAGACATAGTAGTCGATCTGGCGAAGCTCAAGTTCTTCCAGAGTCGATTCACACGTGAATTGATAAGTGGTGACATACCGGATCCTATCACCCTGAGTAACCGGATCCTCAAGCCAATACAATCTGAGCTGGAGCGGCTCAAACAGGACTTGTCCAAAGGTTCGGTATCGGAAGCCGTGGCGGAAGTCGTTGGAGACAAACCCGAAAAGCGCATAGATATGAAGCGCCAACCGGAGGAGCTCACGGAGAAATATATCCACGAGGTCCTCAAAGCTTCGAAAGGCCCTGTGGGCAATCATCGGCAGTTCATTAGTGATAACCTGTATGCTTTCTGGCCACCGTCGACCCCGGCTTACAAGAGCAGCTTCATGGAGTTGCAAACCGGTATGAACCGCATTAAAATGATGCAAAAAACTAAGAAAATCTTGAACATGGACATTTCCAAGGTACTACTGCAGCTCAGGAATCTACTGGACGAGCTGTCAGAAGACAAGTGGACTTTGGAGAATGTCGGCACCAAGGCCAAGGAACTTGCTGACTCTGTCACGTATTACAACACTGAGAAAGATCACATCATGGATAACGGCGCTGGATGGAAGTTTCTACGGTGGGGTCTCCTCGTTGGGATGCCTGGGCTGTCGGTCGTCCCTGTGATGGTGCTCCTGGGCCGTGAAGAATCGCTCCGGCGCCTCAGAGTAGCGCGCAAGGCTGCCGCAGACGAAGAAGGAAAGCTCGCGGCTGAGGCTAGCAGGGCAGCAAAGCAACGAAAGCGCGAGCTTCTACAAGCCAGATACATGGGGGGCCCAACGGACGGATATCGCGAAACGCCCGAGGAAAAGGTGAGCGAGCCTCGGAATGTGAAGATACGGCTCCACGAAGATGAGTCGACGTTTACCCCGAAGAAAGCTGAGAAGTTCTTAAGGCCGATACACCCTGAGTCATCCGTACCAGAGCTAGGACCTTTCGTGTCTCAGCCGCCGCCAGAGAGAGTCCCCGACCAAGACAAGAAAAGACGGCCGCCCAGTCAGTTCATCAGCCCCAAGGCCTTCAAGGATGGCTACTACCGCCTCTCGGACGGGAGACAGTCCGATTCTCCCCACGCTCCTCCTTCAGAGAAGCGCATTGAGAAGCGGCCGAGGACTCAGCCGGCCAGCGACTCATGGCCAGCAGTCGAAGAGGGAGCTTTTGGAAAAGAGGCCAGCGTTAGTAGGCCTGAGAGTCTTAACACACGAACAGCCACACATCACCCGACAGACAGACCTGGCCAGATGTCAAGACCAAGGCCTACTGAAAACAAGCGTGTCCCGCCTATCCATGTTGAAAATGAGGATTTCCCGCCCGTTCCTTTCCAGACACGCATGTCTGCCGATGAAGTCGAAGCCCACTTGAAGAGTCTGATGGCTTTGCAGAATGAGACGAGGATGAGACAGGCCTTGAACTCGGTACCAAACCGACTCAAGAGGCCTACGCGTGGCGATATTCCCAGTGATATCCGCGATACGGCTGGGCCTTTTTATTGCGGCGAGCCTGTGCCTCATCCACTCAGAAGCCAGGCGCATAGTGCCAGAGTTGGCGCTGGGATGGCCGAAGTTGAGCAAAAGTTGGGTCGGTCCTGGGCCAAGCCCGGAGACTCAAATGGTACTAAAAAGCCGAACGGTTCACAGCAATGAGGTGTTTGGCACGACAGACTCTGCCGTCGCTTCCCAATGTGATCTGGTGTATCATCATTATTGTACATATTCGCATCTAAGAAAATAGACAATCGCCTCGAAGCCAACGATTTGGTTTTCCATCTAAACGCCGTCTCTGTATGCAGTCCCCTTGCAAGCTCTTGCACAAGCTTGGGGCATCGTCGTCTCATCAAGATATTGCTCGTCAAAGCGTGTCGTAGTCTAGCACCTCATCGTGCCCTGTCCTCCAGTCGGACCAAATTACCACCTTTTACGACTCAGTGCCCAAATCATTGAAGAGCTTCGCCTTCACCTGCACAGCCATCAGGCCAGTCTTCTCCTTGGCGGCAATCTGCTTCGCGTCTCGAGCGAGCTTGTCGACGTTCTGGTCCACGCTGTTGTCCCTATCAGCACCCAGTAGGATAGAAGAGCCCATCTGCGCGCCGGTCCTGCTCTTGCGCTGCATGGTAGAGTTGAGCTGCTTGACCTTTGAGCCAAGGTCTTGCATGAGCTTGCTTCCAAAATCGCGATTCGTGATGAGTGGGTTCGCCGACAGCGTCTGGACCCAGTACTTGTTCCACAGCAGATCCAACAGGTGCGCCTCCAGCGTGCTCTTGAACGTCTCCACCTCCAGACTGTAGTACCGACTTGCATGCGCACCAAAATCCTCCGCCTTGGCCAGCGGCACGGCCTGGAAGGACTCCGAATCAGCATTACCAGCGGGCTTGTAATCTTCGGGGTATGTCCTGAATGCGCCAATCTCAACCTTGCCCGCGGCAATGGTGCGGTGGGGGTCAATGACCACCGCGACGAAAGGGTCGTTGTACTTCTGCCACTGAGCCTGGGTACCGACGTCGATGCCTGACAGCCAGCAGCCATAGCCAGGGTGGCTGTGATACCATCCCACCAAGTTCTCCTGCCGTGAGCCTTGCTCTCTGCACAGCCGCGGGAACTCAACCATGTACTCGTTGGCCTCGTCCTGGGCGTTGACTCGCGTCTCGGTGCCCTCCACCGGGAGGCGGAAGGCGTCGGTAATCACCAGTGCGCCGTTCTCCACGTAACCTTGCATCAGGCCCATGATCTCGATGTTGCCGCCCGACCGCGCATGCATGACCATCTTGATGAGGGCGACGGCGCTAATGCGCACCTTCTTGAAGTGGTTGGGATCGCTCTTCCATAGCTTCTTCTCCTGCAGGGCCTTTTGGCTGTCGGCGTCAAAGTTGTAGAGAGAATCGCGGGTGGGGTCGATGAGCTCGATTTTGTTCTGAAGCTCCCAGTCTTGGAGGGCGGTTGTTGCCTCCATCTTGGCGAGTCGTGTGAGGGGAACGCAGGGGGTGGAGTTTTGTTGGGTATGGCGAAAGATGGAGATTCAAAAGTCTCCCCGTGGGAAAGAAATAAGTAGGCAGAGTTTGAAAGGTCGTAAAGTGGTGGTTCTATTCTCTCCAAGGTCGGGAGGCTCTTGGAAAGTTGAGGTTGAGGTAGCGATGTCGCATTGAGCCTCAAACAAAACGACGGCGAACCTTAGGTGCCTTGACCACTGAAGCTTAGATGACAGGAGCTCCCAAAGTACGGCGGGGTCGGCGATAAGATAAGCCCTACCAGCTCAATATGGTTCCACATGGACTGCATGGTGGGGCCCACCTAGAGTACCACCCTATGTCATCAACTCAACCTCGATTACACCTGGAGACCTACAATCCGAAGTCTTACACGGACGCGGACATCAGCACTTGTCATTTCGTTCGAACTTCCTTCGCTGTTTGATCTTATAGCTAGCAGTGTTTTACCGAGACACCGGCAATATAAAATCCTCGCTGCATGCAGTACCCAGCCTTGGACGGTCCGGAACACACACTGGTGGCTCTGAGTACGTCCACCTCTTGTCGTTCTCGAAATTCCAAGGAGACACCAGCCGTAGTGAGGCTTTTTAAAGAAGATGACTACGATGATGGCATGGCTCTAGAGTGCCGCGGCCGGGTTATGCCAGAGCCGTCATCGACCCCGGAAGTCTCAAATCCACCACGTGTCGTTCGCTCTCGGGTGTTTCCCCAAGTCCAATCCTTGCTTCAAGCCAGCTATAGTCCTTCCAAGCAAGAGTACCGTGCTGTGGATTATCACCGCGGAACTTCCGTCGAGCTATACTTGCAGAGCAAGTATGATCTGCAAGTATGATTTTCTCCTGCAAGGTTGACAGGAGAAATTCCCCGGCGGTCGAAAGTCGGAGCTCATAAATATTTCCACTATAGTGTTGGCCAAACACTGGTTCAACGTGGCCTTTGGAACGCCAAGAGACATGATCACTCGTTCGCATCGAAACCTCTATGTATGCCAAACACTTCTCGCCGGGGTGGTGGAGCTGGCATGTGAAATCTTATTGAGACGGATCACAATGTCCGTTCTCTAGGTTTGTACCACTGTTTCTTGATCAAACACTGGGCTTGAGATCCAGGATCCCTGTAGACTAAACTTCGTCTTTAATGGCATTCCGAACCTCCAAACAAGCTATCAGACGATGCCCGCTGACAAGTAGGAGCGCAGTCCACCATGATGCCCTCGGAAGTTGGGCACAAAGCTTAAGCTTGGTTCTCAACACGCTAGGCTCTCCAAGGACATTTGTGACAGACGCTTACACTTGGTATGCTGCCTTCGGCGATCCGCTATCGCGTCGACTCATGGCATGAGAGCCCAAGAAGCTCCAAGCGGCGGGTCATTCGTTGATCTCCACGGTTTCTCAAAGCCGTCGGCAGTTCAGAAGAGCTCCCGCCGTCCACTATTCTACTTGCTCTTCAAAGCATGCCGCCAGCGCTTTCACGCGCAAAGAACTTACCAAAATCTCACCCGGAATGGCGATTGTCTTTTCTCCATGCCTGGCCCTACCCGCGCACTATACAATACTTTGGCTTGTATGGGGCGAGAAACAAGCACGTCGGTGTGATTTCGGCTTCTGAGTTCCCTCGTGCGTCTGGCTGTCTTCGACGAAACGTGATATCCCGCGCCAGCGAGTGCTTCCCACTGTTCTAAAGTCATTAGCCCGTCTCATATTGCCTTGTAACTTTCTTGGACTATATGGTTTCCATCTGGTGTGATCGCTTCTGTTATTCGATCTTGTTCAAGGACAAACCATCCACCGCATCACGTACCAGAGCGAGCTATTAATCCTTGAATCACGGACGCGGGTTTCTTGAGGGGTTCAGAGCCTGGCCAGGACTCCATTCAGACGCTGGAACAAGGACGCGCGCTCCCCTTCTTCTCAAGACATTACCATCCCAAATCTCGGTTGACAGATTATATATATAGTCGCCAACTTCGGATGCCACCACTCCGTCGCCGAGAATCATTTCTTTGGGTTTGCCCGCCTCATATGCCGCATTTTACGACAGCATGGGGATCATCAACGTCAGCCTTGCCGCCAACACCGCACTGGATCATGTTCGCCGGCAGTCTGACCGCGCCCCTGCGCAAGAGGGCGGGCTGAACCTTTCATATCATTCAAGACTCACAACCGGGGTAGTATTGGGCTGCCTGGCCACCATCTCAGTAGTGATTGCAATCCGGCTCTTGGTCAAGAAAATGATGCCACCGCATCATCTCTCCGCTGACGATGGTTTGGTATTGGTCGCAACGGCTTTCACCTTGTCTTTCTGCATGGTGTCTCTGGGAGGTAATTCGAGATTTGATTAACCCTAGCCCACAGTACAGACAGCTGACACTGTCTACAGCAAGTATGCATGGCCTCGGCCAACATTCAGCAGACCTGATAGATGCAGGAATCGATGTGACACACATAATCGAGTTCGTATGGGCCGGTCACATCCTCTACAGCTTCGCTATCGCGTTTGCGAAACTGTCCATCATCAGCTCGTACTTTCGCATATTTCCACATCATCGATTGCACAAGCTGATGTATGTGATGCTGGCGATAACATTGGCCCTGCTGGCAGCGTCCGTGGTTGCGACCGTTTTCATATGTCTTCCCATTCAGGCCGCCTGGGATCCAGCCATCAGACCTCAAGCGACATGTTACCGATTTCCATCCTTTCTGTATGCAAGCACAACCATTAATATGATTACCGACGTTGTCTTGTGTTCAGCGCCACTCCCATATTTCCTCAGACTTAGGCTGCCACGGAAGCAGAAAGTTGGTGCTTGTCTTCTTTTCATCGTTGGTGGTTCGTAAGTATTTGCCATTATTCCTCTGCACAGATGAACCTCGATATTTTCGATGCTTTCAAGTACATCTTGGCTGACAACTCTAGTGCCGTGTTCGCGAGTGCGGTGAAGTTAACATATATTCACAGCCTCTACAACACCTCTGACATTGCATGTAAGCAAAGTTCCCCTAGTCAAGCATGCCAACCCACTTATCTCTGCCTCTAGACGATCTCGCCGACCCTCTGATGTGGAGCATTCTGGAATGCAGCATCAGCATTGTCTGCCTGTCAATGCCTTCACTGCGACCCCTCTTCGCCAAATTGGCGCCCCTTATCTTTTTTGCGGGAGAACACAGGCAGCCAAGAGAGAGGTCATCCATAACCTCCTTCTCCGACGACTCACCGAGGCTCAACCGCATCACAACACACTTCCTTGGCTCTGGTATCATCTCTGACGGGATCCGCTGGCCCCTGACGCAGACCGAAACCAACAATACATCAAATGCGGAGGACACTGGTGATAAGCTGGTCATCATCGAGAAGGTCGTTGTCGAGGGAAAGGCTTAAGGCTCAGCCCGTCAATACACGATGTCACAACAGCTCCGATTGCGTGCAGAAACACTTTTCCTTTGTCCGCCGACAAACACACGAACAAGTCTGTCTCACATCGGGATCTTCCGAATCTCCTCGATCGTCCAGTACTTGCGCATGTTCTCTGCCCCCAGCGTCTCCACCTCCTGGTCGAGGTGCTTCCACAGGACACCACCCCAGGTGTCCATCTTAGCCTTCAACACCGACATCTCCAAGTCGAGCTCCCGATTTCGGCATTTGCTCAGGTATTCCTGCATCAAATCCATCCCCTTGTGGATTTCCTTGTGCTGCTGGAGGAGCTCGGCAGCGCGCTTCCCCTTGCCGTTGCTCTGGAAGTCAGACATTTTACGGGCTAGGATAGGAAATATGTATGTCTCCTCAATGTTGTGATGCGCTGTGAGATGAGAAATGAACTCCAGCCCTTGATCGATGTACTGCTTCAGGCTCATCCCAGCTGGCCTGCGGCCGGAAGAGGCTGCGGTGTAGAGCAGATTCCATGTCTGACGGAAGTGTTCGTGCTGGATATAGAATTAGACACAGATTCCAGGGGAGCACAAGTATTAGAAAATAATAGAATCAGCTCACGAAATAATTCATATGCTCAGCCAACCGGTTGTATTGCTTAAATTCGTGACCAGACAACGGCGGCAAGGCTGGTTCTGATTTCGACTGAGTGGAACTTGAAGCCTCAGCCTCGCCAGATACGGTCCCCTTGGGGCATTGGGACTCCACGTCGCCTGGCACTTTTTGTGCGGAAACTTCTTCTGGTTTCTCCTGCATGATGCTGAAGGCGCGGCGTCCTGAGCCGAGACGGGGTAGAAGAGATGAGCTTCGTCGCGTGCAAGTTGAGGACACACGAGCTTCTTTAATGGGCCTTTGACCGGACTCTGTCAAATTTGAGCGACGAGAAGTATTCTTTTGTAGACTTCGCACAAAACTCCGCACAAAATGTATAGAAGCCCTCTTAGCCGAGTGAATGCAGCGCATGGGAAGTGAGATCTTCAGAGTTCGAGGACACACTCGACATCAACAGAATGGAAATCCAACGTCAAACAGGATCATCCGCATGAGCTTCGAACAGAACGAGTATTATGATGTAGAGATATTTTTTTGTTAAAAAAAAAGTACCCGTCGGGGACTCTTTCTACGATTTGAGAATGCTGAGTCTTGGTGATTGACAAAGCCATTTGAAATCACCCACGACCCAATTGGACAGTCGTCTGACGGCCCACCACTGTATTTAGCGGGCCCCCCTTAAGATCCCAGACTTCTTCCCGCGCGGCTTGCTCCCACTTTCCTGGCTCCACTCCCGCTCAAATCGCCCTCGGCCTCGGAAAAGACATCAGCACCGGCTTACTTTGGCTCGGTCTACGAGGGAACGACGCCTAGCCCCAAGCAGCCTCGCCGGGACTCGGGGGACTGCCCTATGGGCGATTATGACATGAATGCGTCGGCCCGGGCACTGGATGCACCCATTATGGCGCGCGCGACCGACTCCCGCGCGGATACGTTTCGTCTCCCCTGTCAAGGTCGGCCTGTTGATAATATTGTTGTGACGAGATAAACCCAAGGAACCCTGCAGTTGACCTTTGTTGTCTGGTTTACCGCGTGAAAGCAACAGTGAGTGAAGGAGAAACCGTCCTTGACGAAGAGATACTGGGTGCTTTTGTCACCACCATTTCGCGAAGCAGCCGGCGCAGATCATCATTACCGATGACTCGCTGGCGATCCTCGTTTTTGAGACGCAGGAAATACGCGAGGGGAACTTGAGTTCTTCAACTACTCGTCTGGATATGTTGCCAGGAGTGATTTTTCTAAAGGCTATGGCTGGGCCAGGCACAATTTCTCTTTAATCTGAGGTTCTGGCCATCACAGATTTCCGACTTACGCTATATAATTTTCTCCCGGGGCAAGTAGGTCCCAGAAGTTGAACCTGTACTCGTATAAGTCCTAGAAAACCCACGACAAGATCTACACAATCTAGCGATGAGGGAGATCGTCGGAAGAAGCATTTGCAAATATGGGACCAGCCCCGTTCCCCTGCTCAGCGAAGCCAGCAGCACCCTCCGGCCAGCCGCCCTTGCATGCGACAGTGCGACTCCAGCCACTCACGCTTGTGAGAGCCGTCCGATCTCAGCGGTTTCCGGAAGCCAAGGTGTGAGATCGGCCTATACCGACAGACGGCACGGAGCCCGGGGTGCCATCCCAAAGGGACGGCGCATCCCGGGAGTGGCATTCCACACTGTGTTCAGTGTCGGCCGAACACTATATGCCTGGCCGTTACTCCGTAGATGTACACTCGCAAGTGACAGGTTCCAGGGCATCATATCCCAAACGAAACTCATGTGTTGCTACTATGCCAGCCTGGGCAGTCCATGGCGCGAGGACATTGCAGAGTACACTCCTGTCTCCTAGTGAGTGGTTACACCGCGTCCTGCAACGATTGTGGCCGACTTTCGAAATTTAATTCAAATATCAGCCCTTGAAGAACTTGGGGGATCCCAATCACTGCGACGCTGTTCATTTGTCCTTGTCCGCTGTAAAGTCGTATGCCACCTACGTGACTGTGCAAAGCTTATCGCTACAAACTATGTTGGCATACGCAACGACGGAGGCACTGGTTTCTGTGTTGGAGGGGTCATACGTGATCAAGGGCCTAGTCACGTCGTTTGAAGCCAGAGAAGTGGCGAGCTGCAGTGTTGCTCTGGGTAGGCGCGGATTCCCTGGACCGCGGTAAATATATACATTTAAGATTTCCCTTTGGTTCCAACATCTACATGCAGTCGATAGACCCCGGACAAGTCATACTGGTGCTGTCCTTACACCTGACGCCGTGTTGCAGCCTTGCGCCTCTGAAATGAAATCACTCTCAGTCTCGCCACAGACCACTACGCCTGAGATGGAAGGCTGGCTGTCGAAGGAACGCCTCAGGCCCACCTTCCGTAATCAGCTTCCGTGAATACAACATCAACAGGCAATCCTATACTCCGTAGTCCTCCCTTGCAATGCGCATGAATTGACGTTGTGTCGAAAAATTGGCCTTGCTCAGCTCCAGTTACACGACAGGTTTCCGAATGTCTCGTCGAGCGTTGAAAATGTACATAGCCGTATGTGGTAACCTCGCACGGCGCCATCAGTGTGCTGGCATCATCAGCTGGCGTCAACCAACAGTGTTGCTTCCGACTAATTCCCCAATTATTACATGGTCGAACCCGTGAGCAGTCTTGTGGTCGCATCCATGTCGCCCAGTTGCATGTCCATGCCTCCCCGCTCAATAGCTTCCATGCGGGCTTCCATTTGGTTCATCCTACCGTCCAAAATACCAGGAGGTGCGCTCATCATGGGAACGCGGTTTTGAATCATGTGGTTGTGATGATTCTGTTGGCTCTGCTGAGTCTGTTGACCTTGCTGGTTCAATTGGCTCTGTTGATTTTGCTCAAAAGATTCGATCCGCTTCTCCATGCTTTCTAGGCGAGACTCTAATCTGGTGAAGCCCTGAGTCATCTCGTGGGTCATGCGGTCGATCTTGTTGGTCAAGCTTCTAATGCTCTGTGCAACGGGCGTGTTCTCTTGCCCAGGCGGGGCGGTAGGCACGCGAGGTTCGTGATTGTGTCGTGCCTCTTGAACGACGAAGCGCCATTGATTTCCCAGCTGCACTTCGCACACAGCTTTTCCACGCCACGGACAATCTACCTTGCGCGTGCTGGGGTTGCGCTTCTTTGCCGTACTGCTGTACTTGACTCCTCCACGATCACACACCAGGTCGAAGCGAGTTGGCTTGCCCTCACGATAATTGCTGGATCGAAGCTTCACGACTCCATATCCCTGGTCCTTTGCCACACGCTGTACGGCAGTCAAAAGGTCTTCGAATGTTCGATAGATGCCTTCAGGAGGAGGTGCCAATGCCGGCGCAGGAGAGGTAGGCATTGCGGAGGATGAGGTTCGTTGGGCACTCGAAGGGCCTGCGACAGACCAATTTTGAGGCGTCTGGGGTGGGGCGCTCTGCTTTGAGGACGTGGCTACCGTGGGGGTGGACTGAGCGGCCTGTTGATTCGCTGGAGGGGGAGGAGTTGGCACCGATGCCGAAGGAGCCGGCGATGGCAGATTTGTCTGCAGAAGACCCAGCCGATCTGTGGTGGATGTGGATGGGCCAGCAGACGCTTGCTGCTGTTGTTGCTGCTGCTGTTGCTGCTGCTGTTGCCTCTGATCGTTCAGCTTTCGCTTCTTCGTTTGTCGCGGCTGAGTTTGAGGTTGGGACTGCGGCGCGGGCACGGGCGTCGACGAGGTCGGTGCAGTTGGAGGAAGGGACACAGGCACCGGCGTAGAAACTGGTATCGGGATCGTCGAGGCTGGGCGAGATGGCGGCAACTGTTGCTGCTGTTGATGCTGCTGCGGCTGATGCTGCTGCTGCTGCTGTTGCTGTTGCTGCTGCTGCTGTTGCTGTTGCTGCTGCTGCTGCTGCTGCACGCTGTTCACATGTGGCGGCTGGACAGGCTGCCAATGCTGATGTCCATAACCACCTGCGACAGCAGGATGGTGATGTTGTGCAGGAGGTTGAGAGAAGGGGTGGGATGGATGGTGTGGATGGTATGAGGCATGAGATGGCTGGACAGTGCCAACTGGAACTGTGTTGTCGTCGTGAGCGATGCTTGGAAGTCCGCTTGGTACGCTGTCATCGGCCCAGCCAATCATCCGGTCCATGCTGCAACCTCGCGTGGACTAAGGTGGGACTGCGAGCCGGTCTGGCAGGCGGGTTGATTGGTCGAGTCTGCCTGAGCCGTCAGGCAAGTCCAGGCTTAGGCGTGTCGCAACGTGCAGCAGGAGAGAGCCCAGGTGTGAAGAAGCTCGGGACCGGTGGTCTGCCTTTGAGTGTGTTTGCAGGGTTTTGTCACCGTGTCGAGGGAGTGAGAGGGTGGTACGGCAGTCGAGTCAAGGTCAAGGCCAGCGAGCGAACCAGGACTTTTCCTTGGGGGTGGTGACCTTTGTCCTTTTTTTTTTTTCTGCCTTCGGGGGGCCTGGCCAGTCTGCTGCAGGAGTTTGACTGGATAGGTAGCTCGAACCGTCAATAGAAGATTGGATCGAGCCCGGAGAAAACCAAGCCTCTGCAGGAGCTGTTCACTTTCGGTGGAACGTTCTTCCCAGGCAGGTGCTTATCAGCCCACCCGACCCTCTTATCGTGGTTGCAGCAGGGGCGGAGCCAGGAGGTGAGCAGACAGGAAAGCTGGGGGTAGGCGAGAATTGGCTGCAACCCAACCTTGGAAACTACCTGGGTACGGTGACACTCGTCACAGCTATGGCGATTGACAAGACCGGTTGACTGACAGACAGACTGAATGCGCACTGTCTAGCCTCGGCGAACATCTAGTCTAGGTAGTCAAGCTCTGATCACTTCTCCAAAGTTTATCAATACACCCGAGGCAAACTTCAACAGCAAACTCCAACAGAAGCTTGCTATTCAGTCGCAATCACCATCACAGTGGTCTGCCAGAGCCCCAACCCAAATATTGTTGTCTTCTGGGATGCCGAGCCCTTCCTGCTCCTTCGTGTGGTAGCATAAGACCAGACAGACTCCTTCGTCCCGATCCTCCAAGTCCACGACGGTCGAATCGCATGACCAACAATCCAAACCCTGATCCCCAGCTCTGTCACCACCATGTCAAACCTCAACCAGAAAGGCCCTGCAGGAGAGCAGTGGGATGAGGCCGAGATCGAGCAAGCACTCAAGCGTCTGGGTGACCTCCACCACCAGGCAAGTCCTCGCCGAGATTGTCCAGCCAAAGTCGCCGACTGACGGCATGATCATGACAGATGCGCAACCTGAGATCGACCGTTTCCAGGACAATGGAGCCCCTGTCTATCCCCTCTTCATCGGGTATGCAGATTGCCGCCTCACCGACGATAGTCTTGCGCTAACGAGCCCACGTAGCCGAAGTGACACTCTCCGCCCTTCGCGAGTCTACCAAATCTGCATATAGCGAGATCAGAGAATACAAACAGGCGGCCACGAGCGAGGAGACTGTGAAGGTCCTCGAGCATGCGAACCAGAGCCGGAAAGAGAACCCAAAGGGCATCAAGCCATGGCGCGCAAGAGATGACCCTAACTGGTTGACGACCAACGGCTGAAGCAGCGTTATATCTATCAAGGCGTCCAGCGTCTCGGCGTGTGGGCTAGAAAAAGAAAAGCATTGCGTACATCGATCACAGAAATGTGATCAACGGTCTTGGCTCTGCATACCGAAGGCAGAGAGAGGAACAGGGACACCACCGAGGCTTTGCAAGTTCGGCTTAACGCACAACAATGAGTAATGATGACGATTCAGACGAAGGAATGATAGCCGCCGGAAAAGAGCAGGGGCCCAGTACTCCGTTCCAGAATGGACGGAGCTTACAGTAAAAGCAGGGAGAAGGCACTCCAAGGCCGGAATGACACATCGTGGACGTGAGGTAGCTCACGAGAATTCTGGGCAGGTCAAACAAGGTGAGAGACGGGCGCGGCTCATAGCTGTGGTCCTTGCATACGCAGGTCATCAGAGGAGAGGGCGCACAAGGGAAGCCGTTCCTAAAAGGCTGCTGGCGGCGAGGCTGACCCAAATAAGACCGTTCCAGATAGGTTATCCCATAGGAACTTGCCATGTGAGCATTGTCTTGAGCGAGGTTTATCCGAGCTAAGACGCCAGAGACAGCATATCGAAATTCATGGTAGTCAATGAGACTATGAGCAAAGAGACGTGGCCGCGTGAGAAAGCCTGAAAATGATCTGAATTTGGTCATGGACGCTGTCAGACCTGTATTTTGACTCTTCGCCTCCTCAAATGGCTTTTGGCTCATTTGCAGGGTGGTAGAGGATGCCAGTAACTAAGGCCCTGTCTCCTTTAAAATGGGCTTTGGCTTATCTGCACTAAATACTGCCAAATTGCACTGGAGGAGAAAACAGAGCACAGCCACATCAGCCACAGTTTGGGACCCACAGAAAACCTGACAAGCCATTGGCGGGAGGTCGGTCCAAGCAGTCGCTAGTCCGGAAGGCACAAAAATTCCTAGCTGGGCTGCCACTTCAAAACTCCGCCAACCTCTCGCGCCTTCGACAACCAGAAAGACCCACGTTTGCCAGAAAGTCAACCTTTGCGACGACATCAATACCGACAAAATGGCCGGCACTCGTGTGACTTACAGACGCCGCAACGGGTGAGAATCCTTGGAACCCCGATTTATCTGAGTTGTGCGTCGGGTTGGAAGAGAGGGCTGCATGTACTGACCAAGTCCTTCTCCACGCCGCAGCTACAACACCACCTCGAACCGGACCCGTATCGTCAAGACCCCCGGTGGCCAGTCGCGCATCCTTCACATCAAGAAGCGAGGAACTGCCCCCAAGTGCGGTGACTGTGGCAACAAGCTGCCTGGCGTAAGTCCATCTCCCACATCGATCGGCGAGTGAGCAGGATGGGATCAAGGAGGGCAAAATGAGAGAGTCGAGCCACACATCCGGAGACTCCACGATTGCGACGATACCTGGACGGCAGAAAGGAAACCGAGATCGATTAGGAGCAATTCGACGAATTGAGAATTCTCATGGATGAACTGTGGACGGAATCACCTCGAAATCTGGAGACCATTTGCCCTCCGGACCATGCCTAGCTCAAATACCGCAACTTGCCATGTGGTGAAGACGAGCACACGTGGTATATCAATACTTGGGGAAGCGGCTAACATGAATGATGCGATCAGGTCCCCGCCCTGCGTCCCCGCGAGTACGCCCAGATCTCCAAGCCCAAGAAGACTGTCCAGCGCGCATACGGTGGCTCACGATGCGGTAACTGCGTGCGCGACCGTATCGTTCGCGCCTTCCTCATTGAGGAGCAGAAGATCGTCAAGAAGGTGCTCAAGGAGGCCGAGCAGGGTCCCAAGAAGAAGTAAGCTGGTTTTGGTCAAGGGGGTTCCTTCAGCGGTGTCGGCATAAGGGAATGGACGGTCACGCAAGCAGAGGCGGATCTTGGACGGTCTTGATTCTGGCTCAGGTGTTACCCGGGAAATAAAAGGGCTGCGTGAAATCTCGCAACGAGGCAGCAAAGGGCATCAACCGCTGTTTCTCTGTTCTTAGGGGATTGCTTTACAGCGTCTTGATGATCGCAATGATACAGACCATCGAGTCGTCAAAAAGACAAACCAACGTCTCGGCATTCTGGGCCAGAGTGATATTCTATGCGACCATGGACTGGCCTGTATTGGATGTGTCGATTCCGCCAGATCGTGATCGACCTCATTGTCCGTATGCAATTCGAGGCTCCAACTGCATATCATAAGTTGATCTGTCCCGTAACTACAAATGCACACATCCTTCGCACAGCGTACTGTTGAATGTGTTCACTGTCTGGTGTAAATGGACTCCATATACAAATTCGCCATAATTGTCGAATTAACTCGCCGCCGGGTAGTAGGTGTTCGGCAGGCTAAACCCGTGACGGTCGATGACGTGCGGGACGAGCTCTCTTTTCGAATTGTCTGTAATCTTTCCCTTCGTCCCCAGTACACTTTTCGTCCAACATGTCGAATACCCCGCCAACTTCAATACTTTTTCCATGATGGTCTCGAGCGTAGGCTCAAAGAGCGCTCTGCGACCTCTTGCAGGAACTGGCCGAAGCCTCCTGCAAAGCTTTGTACCTAGGCCAGCAAGGAGCTTGCCTCTCCCAACGCCATCACAGCCATCCCGCCTCAGCTGTCGGCCACTGTCGAGAACACCACCCTCTCCGTCTTCGACATGGCGATGCGCGCCGCTGCACACCTCGTCCGCCCGCCTCGCCCAGAGATCCCGAGCCCACAATGACGAGGAAATCCCCGATGGCCCCCCGACGACCGACTTCTCGCGCATGGACATGCTAGGCCAGACGCCGGCGCCCTCGACCTCGGTCGACATCTGCTCGTCCGACGGGTTCAAGCTCAACAGCGGCGTCTCAATATACGACGGCAACGGGGTGATGCTCGTGGGCGGCGAGGCCTTCGCGTGGCGGCCGTGGGGTCCGGACCTGAAGCTCGTCAACGCGAAGGGCCAGTGGGAGGTTCGCGAGGAGGCGTTTGCGGTGCTAGACCTGCTCTGGCCTCGGCCTGGTATGATATACGACACACATGTAGTCATGCGCGAATGCGCTTTGGCTGCTGGGCACGATATGGATACACGAATGGCTGACTTGGGTGATTGTGCAGATCTACTGATCCTGGGGCTAGGCCCTGAGATGCGGCCACTGAGCCCCGCTACGAGGAAATATCTAGGCAGCTTGGGACTGCGCGTTGAGATTCTCGACACCAGGAATGCGGCCTCTCAGTTCAACATGCTGGCTACAGAGAGGGGTGTCGATGATGTTGCTGCGGCGCTGATACCCATTGGATGGAGGGAGGGCATTGGGGCAAACTACGATTAATCGACTGATGGTCCCAAAGTGCAAGCTCAGCCTTTTCCGGTCCTCTGTGTGGGCAAGGTCATCCCCACGAAGTGTCTCGCCTTGTTCCTCAAGGTCTCAGCAGTCCATTGGAAGGGGGAGGCCCTTCAATGTGGACGTGAGCGTTCGAGAATTTTTGCATGGACGAACGCTTGTTTTGCTCCAACATGCTGACTGAGCATTGATGCTCATTGTCTGAACTACGTCGAGGTGCTACGGATCGAGAAGTGCCACGTCCGGATGATCCATTCGGAGTGCAGTTCCCTTGATAGGCGGACGGCCACGATCAGACGATTGCACAATGGAGCCTTGCATCGGGCTCGAGTAAAGGAAACGTATGCCCGTGTGGAGGTATGAAAAGTGAGGCAATGCATATGCGATGGCATTTCTGAATCGAATGTATGTGTATGTAGAGTGCACACAACCTTGTCATGTAAATATTTTTGTGACTATGTCATGGCGTGTCCTGGCGTTGATAGCCGTCAAGAGCTCCCCGGAAGCTTAAGTTGTAGCACCACATGAAACCTTGGCCCGCGAAAATTAAATAAAGATCAAGAAAAATTCCTGCACCGTGTTTGCTTTGGCAGAGACAAAGAACAGTTGGCTATGTCCAATGGCGGACGATTGCCTGGAACACGTTGAAGTAATTGCGCGACTGACTGGCTCGCGGCTGACATCGGGAGCTACTGTATGACATCGATACCCCGTACTTTTGCGTTTTCAACGTCCCACCACAGCCCCGGATCGCTTATCACTTCCAGAACGCACCCGACCTTCACAGGAATATCCATCCCACTTCAAGCATCATCACCTCTCAACATCACTCAGCCGCACTCTCTACTGCCACGTGTGTGGCTTTTTGACTGTCTCGTTTTGACCCCTGGCGCGCAAAGGGAGGGACAAGTAGCTCAACTTCCCGGCATCGGTAGCTCGGCGTCACACAGTCGCAATTCGAGATAACAGAAGAACTCCTCAGTAGAGACCACTCTCCAAGCAGTTCCTGCACGGCCCGGAAAGCCTGTTCGACGTCTCTTGCTCAGTTCGGGAGGCTTGCTGCCCTCACCGACCTCGTGTGTGCGTATTGCTCATCATTGTTCCAAGGTTCTGTCATGTGGGTCGCGGCTTGGATCTCTGCCTGCTTGTTCCACTCTCCTCCTTGAAGCGCCATCAGGCAAAGTCAAAAGAAGGGTAGAACCGATATATTTTTCTGTTCATCTCCTTAGGTCTCTGTAGTCCTTGCTCTCAGTCTCTCTCAGTTTTGCGGCTCTGTCTGACTCACAGACATGGCCAGCTCAAGCCTCTCCATTGTTAGCGACACCACAGCCGGCAAGACCATCAGCAATTGGATTCAACAGATCCAGGCGCTCCCTAGACCCGGCTCTCGTGCCACGGCCCTTTCGGCAACCGCAGCTTCTGCCGCTATCTTGACGCTCTTGTATTGGAAGCGCATGGCGTCAAGTAGTCCAACACAGGCTCAAACCTCATCTACTCAATCAGGAGACCATGGTCGGTACTCCAATGAAGGCTTTTAAGGTCCTACGTATTAACAACGCTTTCAGATGCGAGAACGACAGACCCCGAACTTCTCAGGGAGAACTCTGAGGTGAGGTCTTTCACCACAAGTCGTTTTGTCTATCCTGGCGTTCGCGTCTTCTTCCACCCCCACGTCAAACTTGATGAGATGCCAAAGGACCCAGCTCCTCTGCCGCTGCTGGTATTCATACATGGACTTGGCGGCTCTGTGGCGCAGTTCCACCCCTTGCTTAAGAGCCTGACGCACAACTCCTCCTGCCTCGCAGTAGATCTACCAGGATGCGGTGTATCCGAGTTCGCACCGACATCATGGGATGCGTACACGAATGAAGCGCTAGTCGAGTTGCTGGAGACGGTGATCAACGAGTATCGAGACAAGAGTTCTGGCCAGGGAGTCGTCTTGATCGGCCATAGCATGGGCTGCGCGCTCTCAGCTCGTCTCGCATCTCCTGGCTCAAGCCAGCTAGCTGATCACGTAGTCGGTCTTGTGGCCATCTGCCCACCCGCCGGACCGCCGACAGAGGCTCAAGTGAACATGTTCAGAAAATTCCTCTGGGTACCCACGCCGATTTTCGACCTATGGAGAGCCTGGGATGCCCGAGGAGGGGCTGAGAGTGCCAGTGTTAGGAGATTCGTCGGTGCCGAGGCAGATATCGAGTCGAAGCAGTCTCAATTTCGCTTCAATCGCCAGAGTAGGACTCCTGTATGGCGGAGAATGGCCAGTGGCACTCTGCCGGTGTACGAGAATGGCGTCCCGAGGGGCGGCATAGCAGGAAAAGAGGTCTGGGCTTCGCTCAACGTGCCCGTTTTCTTGCTCGGAGGCGGCCGCGACAATATCACACCCCCTCAGGAAGTTGACAAGATCGCCGAGGTCTTGCGTACAGGCAGAGTTGTCCCAGAAAGCGGCGCAACTGAGAGCATCCAACCCATTGTGGATGCTGCTGCTCCGATTGATACAACCGTGCAGACTTCAAAGCCAGCCGGCAGCATCGAAGAGATACGGGAGGATGACTTTCACCGACAGAAAAAGAGGGCATCCGATGATGACACATTCGAAGATCCTTCTACGCCCCAAGAGCCACCAGCCGTTGGCATACCTTCTCAGCCTCAGCACCCCGACAAAGTCGTCAAAACCATGATTTTACCACGCGGGACACACGCCATGGTCTACACCCAAGATTGCTCCCACATTCTCGCGTCTATCATTGCGGACTTCCTCTCGCAGCATGTCACAGGCAGGCTTTCTCGGAGCTGGCAGCTGCAATATCTGAACAAGGAGTCGAAGTGGGATGTGAAGAACCTGGCCAAGTGGAAAGGCGTCGAACCGGTCTCTAAGTCTATCGCAGGCGTATTCCGCGCGATGAAGACTTTCCGGGAGGTAGACGACGAGCATTCCCCGGTCAAGTTCGCTGAGAACTGGGGCGGTATCGTGAAGGATGTGATTGACATTTCAAAAGATACGCCCATGTACGATCCGGCGGGCCTCGAGCGTGCCGGTGTGAGATACCACAAGTTTCCGACGGTGTCGAAGATCCCACCGACGGACAGCGAGGTGGATGAGTTCGTCAAGCTCGTGGATAGACTGCGGGAGAAGCAGAAGACCCGGGCGGCCGAAGAGGGTTGGGCCGAGAGCGCAGAGTACGCTATCGGCGTCCACTGCCACTATGGCTTCAACCGCACCGGTTACTTCATTGTGTGCTACTTGGTCGAGAGGTGCGGGCTCGGGGTCAAGCAGGCTATTGACACTTTTGCCGAGATGAGACCTAAGGGTATCCGGCACTCGCACTTCAAGGACCAGCTGTTTGTAAGGTATTCCGAGCTGAGGTCGCAGGGCGCATGATATGGCACTTCGGCAAGGCCGCTGCTGGTTGAGAGGAGTCCATTCGATGGAAATGTCTCGAATTACATATTCTACTTTTCTGATAGCAGAGACACAATTGGGGTGTCTCGAAGTTTAGGTGGAATTCGGTTGGTCGGTCCAAGGCGCATTGGGTTCACTGTTGTATTATACCTCTTAGATGGTGTTCAGGCTTAAGATATCAACAAGAATTCTTCGATAAAATGACTTCAGCTTTCGCACAGAGATGTGGAACAGTCAAATGGTCTGTCATGTGAGACTCTCTGAGTCTTGACCGGCAGAGAGGCCGGCCCAGCTACGTACGTGGCAGGCTATCTCACCATCACATGGTCTCTAGTGCCAGATCGAGAACAAGCCAGATACAGAAAGGACCCCGGCCACACCACCTCCTGGTCCAGGGCACCAAAATGCCAACTCAGACCTTTAACCTCTGATGAGTTAATGAAGGGTCAATCGCCAGTACGTTTTGAGTCATTGCACGTACGCGTAACGCAATCTCGGAAGGCACCCGCAGTGGTACGTACATGTGAGAGGCAGACACCTAGCGTGTGTGTGATCATCCCAAGGGCTACAGGAAAATCTGTTTTTATCACGGCCCTAGGCGCGACGACGCAAGCCAGCAAAGCACCGCGGTCGCTTGCCTGCGCCGTGTCGAGGTGCGCGGGGACCTATTAGGAAGGCGATTAGATAGATACAGTTTCTACACACCGACGCTGTGTTTTGTTTCCTGAATAGACAGACAGGTGTCAATGTAATAGTTCAATTTATAGTATCATCCCTACTTTTGTGTTCGAAAGTGAACAGAAGCATTGTTTTGTGTCCTCGTGGGCCCCGAGGCCAATAGGGCGAGGCTGATGGGCTGCCCACGGGAGGTGCGGAAGGGGTCATGAAACCCAACAAGTCTGTGATCTGTTTACCCCTGAAACGCGGCCTTGCGTGCGATCGGACGACGACGGGCACCCGCGCGGACGCGCTGTAGATCATCATCGTCATCATCGTCATGCTCTTTCGTCGTCCAAATCACGAGTTCGCAGCAAGGATCTTGGAAGGGATGAAAGTTCAAGATAATCAAGTTGAAGAGTTACAGTCCGTCTCAGCGGAAACTGCTATGTATCGATTGGGAGACAGGCTCCCATTCTTCTTATCCAGGCCCGAGCCACCTATCTCCTGTTAAGAAATTAAGGTTGTACACAAACAGATACAAAAACGGATACAAGACTGAGAGACCAGGGGCTGATCAGCCAAACAAAATAAGTTCGCCATTGCGCCTGGTCAAACCAAATCTAGATGCTCGGACGCTGTTGATGCTAGATTTTGTGTGTTCGTGTGTAGTAGTGAAAAGAAATCCTTTTAAATTCCCGTTTAGGTAGAAGTTGATTTAGGGGTGTTGTAAGAGAAAGGAAGTAATCCATCATTATGTCGTGAGAGTACTTTATACTGTTGGGGTATATTGCCGGCCGTCCACCTCATAAAATCAGTTGATCTCCTGGATCCATATCTAGCAGCTTGTTAGCAAAGTCTCTCAGGTACGGGTTGGTCTAGCTTTACTCACCTCCAATTTTCCAACCTCGAGCCGCTGTTTGCGGGCCTGTGACCTCACACCCATCATGACCATTTCGAGGTCGTCTTGGTCGCCCATAGTAATCATGTCCTGAGGCGAGTCCTCATCCCGGACCTTGATCTTGAAGCGACGACGCAGGCCAAACTTGTCGCGAACCCGATCTACCAAATCAGGGAACTCAACAGCGGTTCCAACCATAATGTAGCGAACATCGTCGGCGTGGACCTTGACTCTGACCTTGCGAGCTTCAGGTCTTCTTGATTGGGCACGTGAAGAGCCCGAGTTCGACAGAGAACCGGTTCCACGCCGGGGGTTCATCATCTCAAAGTCGCCCTCGTCAATAGAACCTCCGTCGTAGTCGCTGCCGTCGTCGTCTTCATCGTCCATGTAACGTTGCTGATTACGGCGTCCGTTTGACCGGCGGGATCCTGCACCATACATGTCGTACAAATCGTCAGGATAGGCATCATCCTCCTCGTCGACCGGAGACCTTCGCTGCCTGTCTCTCTGAGAATAACCGCGACTCGTGGCGTTCGAAGGCGCCCGGGATGGTTGCGGCCGTCTGTCCTGCGGAGACTGATACCTGTCCTGAGGAGAATTCGCCTTCTCGTATCTATCTTGGTTCCTCGCTCTCTCAATGTTGAGTTTCGCAGGCATGGGCTTTGGACCATTGCGCACAGATGCACCTCGAGAAGGCAGTTGCCCGCTGGGCTTATCATTCTCCGGAGGAGGTGTCGGTGGGAAGACATTGTTCGACCCTTGCGACTGTCCAGGGCCCTCTTGCTTCGCCCTACTGGCGAGGTTAGGTTTGACGAGGTTAGTGGCGGCAAAAGAAATGTTGTCAGCGGGTCTGTCGTCCTTCACATCCGCTTTGCCAGCCTGTTTCATCTCGAGTCAGCAAGACATGTAAAAAGCGTCATCAAGGAAAACAGCTGGTGCTGCCTGCTTGAATCATGGGCGTCAAAGGAGACTCACATTCTTGATTTCGGAACCAGCGAAGCCAGTGAATGCGTTTGCGCGATCCGAAGCGGCGACCAGACGAGCTTTACCAAGGTAATCCTTGGTCTTCAAGTTCCTGACTTTGGCTTCGTTTGGCCGATAGACGACTCCAACCGGGATAGAGAACACAGTGTAACCCTGGTTAACAGTCTTGTTAGATTGTGTGCCCAGCGCGTGGCAAATCGTGAACTTACCTCTGCCTCTTCTCGGATTGCCTCATCGATGACGTTGTGATCCTCCACGACCTTTTCCTTCACGGCGTACGACAAATCTTGCATGCCAGCGTCTTTCTGTTGCAGATAAATATAGCACAGACCTCGGTTGAAAAGAACCTCGCAAGAATAGAGCTTGAACAGTAATCCCAATTGCGCGTAGTCGATCATTGTGTTGCCGCGAAGGTAGAGGAGAGTGTCGTTGAAGTTCGCCAATGCCTCCTCGAAATCACCCAGAAGGAAGTTTGAGACGCCTTGTTGAAAATACGCAACAGCGAGATATTGGTCCAGTCGAATCGCTCGTTGATAGCACTCGACCTATGGCAAGCGAGTCAGCACAGTTCGCATGGCAGATCATGATCTGACAAAGTTGCGGGTAACTCACGGCCTTTTCGTGCTCTCCCAGGGTGGCGTGAATCACGCCCATGTTGAAGAGAATCTTGGATGTGTCGGCAATTGGCTCGAAATCCTTCAATGCCTCGTCGAACTCATTGTTGTCGTACCGCGCGAGGGCGGAGACCCAACTTTCTATTTCCTATACCAGCTGTCAGCGAATGCAGCATTCGTGTGTCTTGTGGGCTTGTGACCAACCTGTTTCAGAGACATGATTGCTCAGAGCACACCTTGTGCTTTGTGGAAGTGAGGAATAGAGGCAGGCGTTCGTGTGCAATCGACGAACGTCTATGGCCTCGTGCCCGTGGAGCGAGATCGCTTCTCCAGGCCGCGTAGTCCTGGGGACGTTGGACAATTATTAAGATACGGGTCGGTGGGTCCTCTGGTAAAAGGATTGCGAGGACTTTGCCTTGACTGCAGGTTTACTGGCCAATTAAGCAAATGGTGGGTTCCAGGCAAAGTTCCAGTAAGATCAAGGTGTAGCGGTTGACTCGGCTCGTTTCTGGCGGCTTTTAGTCGGTGTGATGTAAAGATCCGTTGGAGGTGGTGAGAAATGTCCCCGCCGTGCCAATCCGTTCTTCACAATTGCTCCGTCGCTTTCACCAATAGATCACCCCACTAGTGGGCACTTGGCGTGTGATTCCCTGGGTGCAGGAAGCCGTTCGATTTGCACGATCTCGACACAGGGATCCAACTTGGCGCTGGTCAGGAAAGGTGTTGCCCGAGGCTTCAGTGGGTTGTCCCCGCTATGCTCGAATTCCCGCTGTGTGGAGAGTTCTCTGATCGGCGTATCCCAAGTCCAAAAGAGAAGGTCGGCAGCGTCCGGTCCACACGGGAGAGTAAAAATAGACCTTATTGTCGGTTTGGCGGGCCTTGGTGTAGAGGAGAATGTGCCGGATGTGCAGACAGTAAATGAATATGTAGGTACGACCGTACGAGACGCAGGATAGGCCACGGAAAGTTGTATTTGGTGTGGAGGAGTGTGCTGGGTGGGTTGTATAGATGTAGGTTCCAACCCGATTCCGTCCGTATTCCCTCTGTGCCGGCACTAGCAGTTTCAACGATTCGATAACCAGCTGACCCCAAAAGATTCCAAGAATCCAAAATCTGCCAACTGTCGTCTGATTGCGGAGGCTTGTTCGCTCGGAAAGGACTGAAAATGGATGTTCGAGTGTTCGAGGGGTCGGAGGAGGGGGTGTGGTTGGTTGCTCAAAGTAGGCAGGGCGGCTGCTCTAATCGAAGAGGAGCGTGTGGAGGGAAATGAGTGGATGGTGGACGACAAGCCAGCGCCTAACCGGAGGGATGGAAGAAGTAAGAGGGAACGGTGCACCAGGCGTGTCCTGCAGCAGCTGGATCGGGGAAAGAAAAAAAAAGTGGCAGAGGTGCGGTAGTAGTGTGCGGACGGCTCTTGCATGGCCGGGGGGCATGTACTCAGGTATATCATGCACGGGGCTGTAGCACCAGCGCTGGATCCCAGTTCATGATCTGCCCTTGATCCCGCGGCCGCCCTCCCTCAAACACCACCAACAGGACCTGTCCGTCTCAAACCGCTTGATGGTGCCTGTGCGTGGACCTCAGAACCATGAAGCAAAGCAGCCTTGAGCCAACTGGTGTGACTGAGTGAGCCACCTTCTGTGGGCAAGGGGCCTGGGGGGAGGGGGGCGAGGGCGAGGGGCGAGGGGAGCTGGGGGGGCCTGAGACGCTCGAGACCGGGACCGGGGGCCCCAAGCCACTGACGACGGATGCGATGTCAAGGGGGTGCATCTAAAACGCCATCGCTGGGCGCTGGGCACTGTCTGGAGAGATACCTTCGCTTTACTGTGTCTCTTGTCCTGTCTAGTCCTGTTTGTTCTCGTTCTCGCGCTCGTCAGACAGACAGATAGACACATAGATAGCTAGATGAGGATTGGGTACTATGCATGTGGACCTAGGGCCTAGACTAACACGTCTCAAATGTTGAGGTTCATGTTGAGGTTCATGTTCATGTTCATGGTCTATACATCCCGAGATCGCCAGTCTTCTATGGGCGGCGGCAAGGAACGGAGTCGTTTCTCGTCGCAGCCTCGGATCACTCATGCAAATGAGCAATCATGGCCGTTTCCCTCAAAGCCTAGTTTCCCCGATGAGATCAAACATCATCGAATGTTTTCCCGCCGGTATCGAACGTTGAAGAGGGGGGGTGAGAGGGAGGTGGAGGGGAGGGCCGACACGACCGATACCCTCGACCACGAAGTCACCTGTCTACAAGTGCCGGACAAGAGTAACAGACCGGCACCATCAATCAGATTGGCACATTTCTTGGTCGATGTCATTCGACCCGCCCCAAGCCCAAGCAGTCGATACCAGCCACTGAATGAGGAGCAGCTGAAATAACCTCATGGTGTACGTCTCAGGACGGCAAGCACAGCCTGTCAAATTTGACTCAAGCCGCCCGCCAAGTTGCCACACGCCGTGACAAGATTGCCTTGAGCTTCATGATGGTGTTGGCAAGCTGGCAGGCTGGCAGGCTGGCACCTGGCTAGTGGTGACGAACTGTGCGTTAGGTCTTTTGGAGGAGAGGAATTGACCACTCTGGAGTACTGTAGTAACGCCGCAAGCCACATGTCAACCATGCACCGTTGGCAGTCTTCCATTCTTCTGGAGAAGCATGCATGCAAGTGAAGTGCACATATATGTAGTTGATTCTCTTAATCCATCCATCACACACATCATTCCATGTGCGCTGCAAAGTGGGGTCATGAACAGCAGAGAGAGAGCCCTTCACAGAGAGCACGTATGGCACGCATGCACGGCATGGCACGACCGCCTACGGCCGCTCTGCCATCTCATCGACGAGTGCAGGCTGTGTTCCATAACCCACGGGATCTTCGATAACGCCACGTCGATATAGGTTGTCACAGGTCGGTCTGAATGTTGACGCCCTCGCTGATCGAGGCCTTGGCTGGGTTCAATGCACCAAGCCGTGGCAGGGTACCAGGGCCCTCGATTGGTCTGGAGCGCACCTGGGCATGTGGAGTGGCCCCTGTCCTTCTCGGCGCTTAACTTTCAGGCTCTAGGCATACCCCCTCTTTCCCCATTGGGGACGTTGGGGGTAGACAGCAGAGACAATCTGACACTAAGGCAAGCACCAGCACAGCGGTACCTTCCCGCAAGCTAGCGGCCAACAAGCCAGCTCGAACTCTGCGATCCAACTCCAGCACTTATCTAGCCTATCTACTTACCTGCAGCCTGCCTGCATCTGCAGATTTGGCTTGGCCGATGGCATCTTCTGTGGCGTCTAGCTTTTCCATGAGCTTTCTCGAAGGAAGCCTGTCTCTATCCGAACATGCACCAAAGGGGCGCAGGCGAATACGGCGAACAGGCCTGTCCGCTTGTCAAACATGTCAGATAAAAAGTGCCTCTGATGGCAATGTCCAAGAGATATGACGGTTTGCACAAACCACCAAGCCCCCCACCACTGGATAAGTGGAGTTGAAGGACGGCATTTCTGCTTCGAGGCCACACGTGGTCAGCTGCAATGCTGCGGGTGACAGCCAGCAGACACCCAGCAAGGGCCAGAAATGCAGCCGGTATCACACCCTATTTTCGGACTATCGTGAGCACCACTCGTACTCGCAGCGAGACGAGCAACAACTCGGCCATCACAGACCACAATGTGGCCAGTGGTAGAGAGATCCCCGGCGGTTTGACGATTGAGATCCCACGTGCCCACGCAAACTCTATCGGCAGAGTCTGCCCGACAGGAGCCCACTGTGGAGCTCATCATCCTCGCACTCTCCCCCCGCCTCTGTGCTGTCTTCGACGGCAGAAGACACTTGGTTCCGCTCAAAGAGCATGTCTGTCCGGATATTCGAGGACCAGAAAAATACGAAGCCAAGACACAGACAGACTTTGGCTGTATTACGGATTACATTGAATTGACTGGTCTGAAGCACTTCCCCCTTCGGATGAGACTCTCAGCGGGATTAAGCATTCTTCACATGCAGGTGCATTGTCCTTCGCCCAAGAGTTCTCCATCCTTGGTTGCTTGTTGCGACTTCACGACGAACACCTTACACAGCTCCCGGGCTCCTTAGCAGTCCGAGCATTCCTACTGCGACTCTGAAGCTCTGACGCAATACTGCGGGCTTCGCTCATCTTCAATGTTTGATGGATAGGTCCAAACGAACGCGTCCTCTGCTGGCGTAGTCGGACGAAGGAGCTGATGAAGCTTCTTCCATCTTCGTCGGTAGCGTTACATTTTGGGGTAATGCACGGTGCAGTCTTCGGCTGCTCCCATATTGGTGCTCCACAAAATCTTAACCACCGGGCGCACGGCAATACTGCTGTGTGGTACAAATGGAGAAGCCGCGAAACTCGCTTCCCCTTCAGGCTGTTTGATGAGTAACTAGTAGCCCGTCCCGCAACCGCCATACCACAGATTTGGTACTCGTCGGGGGAGGTCCCTCTCTTCAGCCCTCCCGCATGCTAGATCTGCAAATGCAAGCTCCTTAAAAAGTTCGAAATTGACGGTTCGCTCCAGACTTGAGCGTACCGGAAGGCTTGCAGCCAACGGTCAGCCGTTTGCCAGACAGCCAAGTGGGCCGATATCCCTCGACCATACGGCACCACGCGTACCAGAGCTCCGTGGGATACCTCCTGTCAGCAGCATTACCGAGTCAGGCCCGCAGGCTTTTACACTCCTGGCCATGCTCTGAAGTCACCCATGTTCCGGGACCGCCTTCGATCACGGCCCGCGGGAAAGAGTGGTACGGAACTTCAGACTTGGGCGATCTGACGTCTTGCCCCGTTTATCCTGTAAATCCACAGTGTTACAGTGTTTCTCAGCCTCGTTCTGTTCGGGGCTGCCCGAAGTGTCCACCCCGTTCTCCGTGATCAACATCGTCAAGACACTCCATAACTGTGCAGCTCTTGGAACCCATGGCAGCTTCCTGGGCACAGTAATGCCTCGGCACTGTGTGCTCTACTTCAGGGTGCCGACTACGAGACTACGAGTTAGAGATACGGCGATCCAAGGAGCTAAGATTTTTACAAGATTCGCGGCGATGTAGTCAGTAAAGACTTTCGAAACTTTCCCAAGGGCTGCATCGACCGAGTCGAAACAGTTAATCGCAGTCTCAGTGCGAGACCCAAGGCGACCCTTTACAGCGATGAACCCTCCTCAGGCTACCATCAGCCGCAGCCTTGGCTCTGCGACAAGACTTCTGACGCTG